GGACGCTGCGCACTTCTGCGCCTCAACAAACCACAAGGGGGGAAAGGGGGGGGGAGGGGGGGCAGCTTGGGCTCCGGACGTACTCCATGACGCCGGGCCACGCGGCTCTCCAAACTCGTGGGCTGCGCGCTCTCCCTCAGCGTCTTCTCGCTGTGGCAGTCGCCGCACAGCGCCTGCAAAGTTTGCACGCTGCCCGCAAAGGCCTGCCTCACCGGCACCACGTGGTCCAGCTCGCAGGTGCCTGCCGTCAGCCCGCAGCCGCACAGCGCGCACTTGCCGCCCTGCGCGGCCAAGGTCTGCTGCCTCTCCGCCGCGCCGGGCACCTCCCGCTTCGCCTTGAGCAGCTTCAAAAAAATCTCGCGCGCCAAGCCGGCCAGGCGCTGGCCCCTGTACTCCTGGTTGAGCGCCTCGCACCACCTCCGCAGCACCTCGTGCTCCTCCGGCAGCTCTCGGATCCTGGTGCCCCGCCTCAGCCTCAGCCCGCAGTCCTGCGCCGGGCTGCTGATGGCCACCTTGGGGCTCTCGCCGGCGGCCATGAGCTGGCGCCGCGCCTCCCGCAGGTCCTCGCACCAGAACAGCCCCGGCTGCACGTCCGCGGCGTCGAAGCGCCTCCACTCTTGGATGGGCGGCAGGGTCTGCCTCGCCTCGCCCCGGTAGAGCACGCGCGCCTGCCGCTCCAGCACCCAGCAAGGACAACCAGCCCCTCATCCAAAGGGGCCGAACGACTACATCCGGAGCTTGTGCGCTTCTTGCAGGGTGGAGAGCACCGGCTGACCAAGCTGGGCAAGGGCTTCTTCCGCGACAAGTTCTACAAGTACTTAGCCCACGTGCCGGTATTCGGGGCAGGAGCGCAGCGGGCGGAACGCGGGCGGGCTACGAGCGCAGAGACTGGCTGCCGGTGAACAAGCTGGGCCATGACGAGGCACCCGGCCCACCTCCGGAGGAGCAGGTGGCGCAGCGGGTCAGGCAGCAGGGTTTTTTAGGCCCGTATAGGAACCTATAGGAAACCTATAGGAAACCTATAGGAAACCCATAGGAAACCCATAGGAAGTCCATAGGAAAAGAAGAAGAGGGCTTCCTATGGGTTTGCTATGGATTTCCTATAGGGTTCCTATAGGTTCCTATAGGTCCTTTTAGAGCCCCCCAGGCCCGGCATCAAGGCCACCCGGCCGCGCCACCTGCCCGGCATCGGAGCCTCCAGCCTGCCGAGCCCGCGCCGCGAGGTCGGAATTCCGACTTCGCTCTCCCACCAAAGTCGGAATTCCAACTTCGCTCTCCCACCAAGCTCGGAATTCCAGCGCCGAAGGTCTGTCAGCGGCCTGCTTCTTGCCAAGCCGCTGACAGAGTGTCTTTTTTCACCATTACTCGCTTTGCCGTCAATCCTGCGCTGGGCACAGGATTGCCCCACTCAATCCTGCGCTGGCAACAGGATTGCCCCCAGTCAATCCTGCGCTGGGCACAGGATTGCCCCACTCAATCCTGCGCTGGCAACAGGATTGCCCCACTCAATCCTGCGCTGGCAACAGGATTGTCACGTCTCCCTGAAAACTCCGGCTGCGATGCCGTACTGGCGGCATCTCTCCCGGACTTGCCGCCCGGCTTCCCGGCTTCAAATTTGGGAAGTAACGCAAAGGAATGGGGCCGTGGTGCCCCTGGTGCCATGCACGGGCATTTTCCTCGGGCCATCAAAATCGGGCAAAACCGTGGCTCTGATCAGCCTGATTCTGGAGCAGTATCGCGGCGTCTTTGAGAGAATTACGTCTTCAGCCCGAGCGTTAACATCGACGACTGGATCCCCGTCAAGAAGTACATCGAGGAGGACCTGGGGGTGAACACAGAGCGGGAGCAGACCTATTGGGACGAGTGGGACGAGGCGGCGCTGCGGCGCATCATCCAGCAGCAGCGCAAATGAAGAAACTGTACCAGGTGCTTGTAGTCATCGCGACTTTGCTGACACGACGCAGCTACACAAGCCTCACGGCGCCCTTGACACGCTCTTCATCCGAGGCGGCGCATGCAGATCAGCACCTGGGTGAGTTCCCAGAAGTTGAGGCTCATCAGCGCCGCCGTCGGGTGAACATGCAGTTCCTCTGCTGCTGGAGGCTGCGCAACCAGCACGAGCTGGACGCCGTCATTGAGGAGCGCTGTACCGGCTGTACGAACAGGCGACGCGGGAACCTTACAGTTTCCTCTTCGTCTACTACCTGAAGCCGAGGAATGAAATGTTCTACAAGCGCTTCGAAGAGCGCTTCGCACTTGAAAAAGACGCCGATGGGAGCGGCGCTCAGCTTCCTGGGCCAGAAGCTGTTCGCCAGCTCCACGCTGATCAACGCGAAGTGTGGGAACATCTCCTGCTGCACCTCCGTCGCAGCCGTCCAGCCGCCCGTCGTCTGCCGGACGGCGGCTTCCTAAAGAAAAGATGACGACGATCTACGTGGACAGCCGCAAGAGGGTGGCCGGCTCGGACAGCGACTTTGAGGTCGACCTGGGAGCACCTGCAGAGCGACGCCCGGCTGGCCATCTACAAGATCCGCTTGGCTGACAGCTTCCTGTCCACGGACCGGGGCCGCTACCTCTACTGGGTCGACGCCGCGCTCGGCGCGCTGAACTGGGCGCTGTTGCCCAAGGGCGCTTGCACGGGCGCCGGCTGGCGCCTGGGTCAGCTCCAACTTTGCCACCGCCGCCTATACCGAGACCACAAACAGCCTGAGCGTTGCCTACGACGGCTGATCCTGAAGCCAGCAATTTCCTACGCAGCGCGCCGGCCGCCTCTCCGACCAAGCCCTTCAGCGTGGACCACATGCTGGGCCCGAGCTTCGTCTCTGGCGGACAGCAGGTCTTTGAGTTCGTCCGGATGATGGCGCGCAACGAGGTCTACTTGCTGCGCCCAGCTGGCCAACGCCAGCCGAGTGCTGGAACCTGGGCGACGACGTCCTCTCCAAGATCAGAGACGGGCTCCGATGACGGGCGCTTCATGGCCCTGAGGGGCCCCGTCACCTTGCGCTTCCGGCTGACTGACCTGGACGGCAACGTCGTCCGGCTTCGCGGGTCGTCGTTGTCGTTCGTGTTATATCTTGACCACGTATAAGAAGTGGAGCCGACCGAACAAGAGGCGCCAGAGGCGCAGGAGTACGCTGCGCCGGAGGCACCTCACGCTGCGCCGGAGGCACCTCATCCTGGACGGACAAGTGCCAGAAGCCTACCAGGTGAATAGAATGCATTTGGAAAATCCCCCCTTAAAAAGAGGTGCGATGTTCAATGTCTGCAGCTGTCGCGCAGTCGCTGCGCAGTTCGCAGTTCGCTGCTCCGGGCTGCGCATTATTGATCCAATGTTGCGCCATCATTGCTTCAACACAATTCAAATTTGCCTCAAGAATGCGCTTGCTTCCTCCAGCACCTCCCTGTACTGAAGATGCCGGAGCGTTGGTCACTGGGCACGCCCTTGATCTTGCGCTTCTCCTTGTGCGCGCCGTCGGGCTGGACCGTAAGGATGCTGTACATCTTGGAGCGCAGGCCGACGTACTTAAGGCTTCTGGCTGGAAAGGTCTCGTCGCCGAGCTTGCCCAGCTGCTCCTTGGACTTGCCGGCCACGTCGAAGAGCCGCTCAGGTTTGCCATGCCTGGCATTGAAGCCTCCGCGCCCGGCTCAAGGCCACGCCAGCCTGCCAAGTCATACGGATCATACGGATCATACGGTCATACGGTTATACGGTGGCAGCTTGGCACTTTGGGTGCGCCGCTGCCGGGTCTCGAAGCCTCCGCTGCCGCGCCACCTGCTCGGCATCCAAGCCACCCTGCCGCGCCACTCCGCGCAGTAATCGGTAAAAAGAGGAAGACGCATGAACACACTTAAAGCTGTGCGTTGGGGAGTCAACCTCAGACGCCCAGGCCCGCAAATTTGCATAGCCCTGATTCCGCGCCGTCAATAGCTGGCGCATGCATCTTTGACAGGTGAGTGCACTTTGACAGGTGAGTGCACTGTACTGCCACCTGGCCAGCTACTCAGATACTCGCATGTGCGCTAGTTAACTACATGACCCATCAGGGTCCCACCACCAGATTATCTCTTGCCGGGCACAGAGGACGCTTTTGTGCAACACACAGGTTGCACGCACTGCTTCTTGTTGTGTCAGCATGCTTCCTGTTTGTCTCACACCCGAAGATAATACACCTTGTGTGAAGGTCGCACGCATTGTTGACCTTGGGGGCATCTGTGCAGGCTGCATGGGGGTGCAGGGATTGGGAGTGGACACGCGCCTCTGAGCCTGCAAGTCCGAGCAACACCTGTGGAAAAGGGAGTGGAGCATCTTTGGGTCGGTCGGCTTCCCTTTTCATGGTTGTTCCCTCTTGGCTTGAAGCAGTGAACAGGATTCTAACACCCATGTTCTTTGATTTGGGTTACTTGATATATGTTTAGGCGGCGCGAGTGACTTCTCCCAATCCAATCAAGCTGAGCGTGGCAGGCGTGAACGCCGCAACGCGGATTCATTTCTTTGCATTCGTCGGTTTAGCGCACACGACTGGCATTCTCGTGGTTGCGCGTTTCCGGCGAAAAATGGGATCACCACATGGACACTTATTGGTGGCGCAACTTGTCTCAGCTACGGTTCCCATGCTTCTAAACGTTGGACTGAGCACAGGAACACCTTGGATGTGAATTCTGAAATGCTTGTGGACCTAGTTGGGCTTACGGCTTAAGGCCCAAGAGTTTATAGGGGTGAATACATGGGGTATCGGGGTGTAGGGTTCTTCTTGTTTTATGAGAGCGGCGGTCTTATTCCGGCATTTCTCCTCAATAAACATGTGCTGCTGCAGTGCCTATTCCCCGACGTTGGGGTGGGGACGCGATTAAACATATTTTTTTCCCAGCAAGAAAGCTCGTTCCATGAAGTGCAGGTTCAGTAGCAGCATGGGAGACTCGCATGCATGTTTGCTACGATCGGAGCATTTCGGCTCGCAAGCTTTCCTTTCCTACGAGCAAAGTCTCAGCTGTTGACTTGGATGGCGGAGCTGAAGCTGTCACGCGATGACAAGCCGGAGCGAAAGTGGATTGAGAACCCCTTGACTTGGTGGCAGGGAACGAGCTACGCGTGGAACAGGAAGATCCCACTATGGACGGGCTCGGGTGAGGCGGAGGGGTTGTCCGAACTCTTCGTGGACAACTTGGGCTCCTTACTGGGTACCACGGGCGCGTGTGTGGGCCACATCGGCTATGGCATTGTTGGCACGATGGGTGCCTTCACTGCTGTGGCCATGACCGATGGCTCCACCTACGCCACAGCCGTGGCCCAGGAATGGGAGAAGGTTTACTTCTCGCGAAACATCCCTGGCTGTGCCTTTGCTTTGCTGTTGGGCAACCTCTACTACGCGTGGCAGTGTGGCCGCCTGGGCAACAAGGAAGATCGAACCGACGTCACCGCCCAGCCCTATGGCATCAACACCACGGGCGTCTACATCACGCTCTATGCCATCAACCTGGAGGCGCTGATCTCCGCAGGTTTCTTGTTTCTCCCGGCTGCTGGTGCCACGGACGCCGACATCCGCACGGCCGCAGTCAATGCTGCCGACCATGCCTGGAAGGTGTCTGTGGCCGCTAACTTCCTCTTGGGCATTTTTGAGATGCTTGGAGCTTTCTTCGGGGAGTCCATCCGCAAGGCGGCACCTGCGGCTGCGTTCTACGCACCCATGGTTGGCGTGGGTTTCGTGTACCTTGGCTTTGTGCCCATGCTGAACATTGCAGCAGAGCCCATGGTTTGCCTGATCCCGCTCCTCATCGTGTTCAACGGCTTCTTCGGTGGGGTCCGGTACCACATCTTCAGGAAGCTGACTTTCCCCATTGGCCTGCTTGCCATCCTGGCCGCTGCCATTGCCGGATGGTCCGGTGGTTGCGCCCGTGAGGGCGGCACGCTTGGTGCCACGAACTATGGATACACGCTGCAGTACTTTGACACCACAAAGGTCACTTGCACTGGCACTTCACAGACAGAAGCCCAGCGTGCATGGGACACCTACGCTTTCCAAGACAATGTGCTTTCAGGTGCGGTCTTTGTAGGCCTTGGTGGGTTCTCTGAGATTGGCAGCTTCATCACCACACTGTTCTTGGTGGGTGTGGTGGGCTTCGTGGGGACCATGAGCTGCGTGGAGAGCGCCTCGGCAGCAGGCGACGACTACCCCATGGCAGAGACAATGATTGTGGATGGTTTGGGCACCTGCTTTGGCGCACTCTTCGGATCCTTCTACTCCACCACAGTGTACATCGGGCACCCCATCCACAAGTCCCTCGGCGCAAGGCGTGGCTACAGCCTCTTCAACGGCATCCTCTACTTCATCCTTCTCCTCAGCGGGGTGTTCGCTGCGCTGTACCAGTCCCTGCCCGAATGTGCCAGCGGCGCGATCCTGGTCTTCGTTGGGTTGATCTTGGGCCGCCAGGCATTTGAGGAGACGCCGCCACGTCACTACCCCGCCCTGCTGCTCAGCCTTTTCCCCTACCTCTGCAATTGGGCCAAGCTGAGCAACATGAACGAGGGCATCCAAATGATGGGCCAGGGTGGCGGCATGATGTTCAGCGTGGTGCTCACTTGGCTCTTTTGCCTTTGCATCGACCGGACTTTACAAAGGCCACCGTGCTCTCCTTCGTGGCCATCTGGCTCTCTCTCTTCGGCTTCTTTGCCAGCCACAACGCGCCTAACGACACTGTTCCCCCGACATTGGGCAACGAGAAGATCGGCTTCTATGGCAAAGAGGACCACGAGTACAACAACGGATGGCGCTGGGCAGTCTCTTGGAGTGTGGCAACGGTGTTCTTCGCTGCGCACGTTGGCTTGCAGAAGCTGGGGAAGGTTGACGGCCCCTTTGAGCTCAAGGATGCGGAGGCGAAGGAGGTTAAGGAGAGCATGTAGAGGCGCTTTTCCACACGTGTAAACACCAGGATTCACAGGCGCAAGACATGGGGCGCAGCTTGGCGCCCCCCGGTGGAGCTGGGTCTTGCGCCTAATCAGAGTATTTTCCAGCCCTGTAGTCACACTCCTCAGAGAGTGCTCGAGGACAGGATCATGCCTTCTCATGCTCTGATCAGAAAGCCTGTTTTTGCCGGTGCCATGCTAAGCAGGTGCCGGGTGGATTGCTTTGATTGCTGCTATTGATTGAGATCGCTGCCTGTGTGATACATGTGGGCTCTGTGCCTTCTGCTTGCTTGTATTGACAAATCGTGGTGCTTTCGCTTTGAAAGAAAGCCCCCCAATATCGGAGGTAGAACATAGTGTGTAGCATCAGCTTTTGTGCGAAGAACATGTTTTGGCACAAAGTCTGGGCGTACAGATCGGATGGGCAGCTTCTGGCACTGCCTGTGAATGGCTCAAGATGGTTGTGACGAACGACCACCGGTACTGAACCAATGAGCGCCTGAGCCGGCAATTACGCACTGCATGCGGCAGCATGCGCCAGTTGCCGGTCTTGCTTATGCATACAAGGTATGCCCTGGTTGAGATGCACGGCAGGGACCTTGGAGTGCTACGCCAGGATTGGACGGAGACTTGCGTTCAGATGCTGAGATTCTTCCTTTGACTTGAGGCACTGGCCCTCCTTTCCCGCTGTGACATCGCCGTCTCTGTCGAGCAGATCGATGACGCTGGGCCTAAGCGACGCGGTTGAGCCACTGGTTTGGCCCTGACCGCCAGGAGTCCTGCCCGGTGCAGTTGCTGCAGGTGAGCCAGGCCGGACAACGCAGCGGGGCATCAATTGTTCAGATGGATTTGGGCATTGGTATGCGCCCCACGTACATTGGGAAGGAAACAACCCTTCAAAAGGCTTTCTGGTGATGTATGACATGTTCCCATGTTACGTAAGCACCTGCTGTCACATGCTCGTCTGCGATCATTGAAGGTGCAAGCAGCTTTCCATGCTGGCCTTGAGTCTGCAGTCCATCACAGGTTGCCTCAAGCTGCGAGAGCCTGTGCATGGAATCATATTACTTCTACCACTTGCCACCTGCCTACAACAAACTTTGCACTTCAGCGCAAGCGCTACACTCTGTGATAAGTCTGCCCTCGTTGGCAAATTTGTTTCCAGCGCCTTTCGTGTAGGATGCTGGAAGCAGGTGCAGAGCTTCACCCACTGACATCAGATTGAACAATTTCCCACTCTCGACGTTTCTTTTTGGTTCCTGTGATCTTTCATTTAATGCAACTGGGTGTGGACTCACAGGCCTTCGGGCCAAGTCCGAACTTGTCACAGGCGCTAGACGGACCTGGCCCTTGGGAGGCACCGGTCGACCGGTCGGCTTCTCCGCACGGGTTTGGGGGGAGGGGGGGTTTTGGCCGAGCCCGAGTAGCAGGCCATTAGGGACCTTGTGCGCGAAGCCGGGCGCGCAGAGTCTGCGGCAGTGCTGGCGCCCGCTACTGTGGCGGATGGGGCGGCAGAGGACGCACGGAAGGCCGGGAGATTGGGTGGCAGCTGGATGAAGGATTTCTTGGATTCAGCGGAGCAAACGTCAAGCTGTCTGCGGGGTACAGCCTGGGGATGCCGGAGGCCTTGTGGACATCTCGGGTCTGTGTCTGATCCATTTCGAAGTTTTTTTTTTTCCTCGAAATCCACGTCCTGGAGCAAACTTTGGTTGGGAGCTCTCCAGTTTCGCCCCTTGCCTTCATTTTTTTTAAAGATCAACAAACCTTTGGGTAATTTTGGGCATGGCCACTGATTTGTTGCAATCTCATGCGTTCATCCCATTGAGCTGAGGAACTTTGGATCATTTTCTTTTGAAAAGAACACCCTTGACTTTCTTCTGACCTTGGTCAAGCTGGGTTTGTTCACATCGAAGCGCCAGGCGCTGCAATCCGCGGGCGCTGAGAACTTCCTCCAGGACCTGGGCCGCGCGGAGCAGGCGGCGCTGGCGGAGCCCTCGCGGGTGCCGGCCAAGACCGTGGAGGCGCGGGTGGTGGAAGAGCGAGGGATCGGCATTGGCTGGCGACCCCACCGGTGCTTGACGTTGCGCTTGCTTTGGGCGGGTTGCAGATTGTGGCAGGATTTGAGGACTGGGGGGGGGGAGTTGGAACATCAGTTTCAGTTGGCTCCTGCCTTGCCTCATCCTTGTCGCATTAAGTCTTTGTGCGACCAGTGGAGATCTCACATTCAATTCTCAGATTTTGTCGTGAAGGGCATACAGCACGTGGGGTCACCCTCCCTCCCACCAACATCGGCTGAGGCCGCTGCCGAGTCCGCTGCCGAGTCGGGCAAGGCGGTCACTCTCAGGGACTTCGTGCGCGCGGCCGCGCGCGCTGAGTCCAGGGCAGTGCTGGTGCCCGCGACAGCGGCGGATGCGGCAGAGGACGCATGGCAGGCCGGCAGACTGAGTCTTAGCGCGAGCTTGAAGCTTTTGATAGAGTTCGTCCCCGGGTTCCATAAGCATTTGAAATTTTGCGGCGCAGCGTTCAATAGAGTTCGTCCCCTTGTCGCCGCATTCTAAACACCGTCATCGCAGGCCTCGAAGCTTGGAAGCGCCTCGAAGCGTCAGGCGCTGCAATCCGCGGGCGCTGAGAACTTCCTCCGGGACCTGGGCCGCGCGGAGCAGGCGGCGCTGGCGGAGCCCTCGCGGGTGCCGGCCAAGACCGTGGAGGCGCGGGTTTGTAAGGTGGCCCAACAAAGGTCGTCGGCTCATCCAGGAAGATCAATTTGTTAATGAAGGAGTGAATGAACGGTGTATCGTGCTTGTTGTACTGGGAGCGGCGTTGTTGTTACCGCATCTTTCCTCAGCAAGCATGTGCTGCTGCAGTGCCTATTCCACGACGTTGGAGTGGGCCACAATTAAGCACATTGTTTCTGCAGCAACAAAGTTCGTTCCATGAACCGCAGGTTCAGTAACAGCACGGCATGGGAGACTCGCATGCATGTTTGCTGCGATTGGAGCATTTTGGCTGGCAAGCTTTCCTAATCCTACGAGCAAAGTCTCAGCTGTTGACTTGGATGGCGGAGCTGAAGCTGTCACGCGATGACAAGCCGGAGCGGAAGTGGCAGGGAACGAGCTATGCCTGGAACAGGAAGATCCCGCTATGGACGGGCTCGGCTGAGGCGGAGGGGTTGTCCGAACTCTTCGTGGACAACTTGGGCTCCCTACTGGGTACCACAGGCGCGTGTGTGGGCCACATCGGCTATGGCATTGTTGGCACGATGGGTGCCTTCACTGCTGTGGCCATGACCGATGGCTCCACCTACGCCACAGCCGTGGCCTAGGAATGGGAGAAGGTTTACTTCTCGCGAAACATCCCTGGCTGTGCCTTTGCTTTGCTGTTGGGCAACCTCTACTACGCGTGGCAGTGTGGCCGCCTGGGCAACAAGGAAGATCGAACCGACGTCACCGCCCAGCCCTATGGCATCAACACCACGGGCGTCTACATCACGCTCTATGCCATCAACCTGGAGGCGCTGATCTCCGCAGGTTTCTTGTTTCTCCCGGCTGCTGGTGCCACGGACGCCGACATCCGCACGGCCGCAGTCAATGCTGCCGACCATGCCTGGAAGGTGTCTGTGGCCGCTAACTTCCTCTTGGGCATTTTTGAGATGCTTGGAGCTTTCTTCGGGGAGTCCATCCGCAAGGCGGCACCTGCGGCTGCGTTCTACGCACCCATGGTTGGCGTGGGTTTCGTGTACCTTGGCTTTGTGCCCATGCTGAACATTGCAGCAGAGCCCATGGTTTGCCTGATCCCGCTCCTCATCGTGTTCAACGGCTTCTTCGGTGGGGTCCGGTACCACATCTTCAGGAAGCTGACTTTCCCCATTGGCCTGCTTGCCATCCTGGCCGCTGCCATTGCCGGATGGTCCGGAGGTTGCGCCCGTGAGGGCGGCACGCTTGGTGCCACAAATTACGGATACACGCTGCAATACTTTGACACCACAAAGGTCACTTCACTGGCACTTTACAGACAGAAGCCCAGCGCGCATGGGACACCTACGCTTTCCAAGCCAATGTGCTTTCAGGTGCGGTCGTTGTAGGCCTTGGTGTGTTCTCTCAGATTGGCAGCTTCATCACCACACTGTTCTTGGTGGGAGTGGTGGGCTTCGTGGGGACCATGAGCTGCGTGGAGAGCGCCTCGGCAGCAGGCGATGACTACCCCATGGCAGAGACAATGATTGTGGATGGTTTGGGCATCTGCTTTGGCGCACTCTTCGGATCCTTCTACTCCACCACAGTGTACGTCGGGCACCCCATCCACAAGTCCCTCGGCGCAAGGCGTGGCTACAGCCTCTTCAACGGCATCCTCTACTTCATCCTTCTCCTCAGCGGGGTGTTCGCTGCGCTGTATATACCAGTCCCTGCCCGAATGTGCCAGCAGCGCGATCCTGGTCTTCGTTGGGTTGATCTTGGGGCGCCAGGCATTCGAGGAGACGCCGCCACGTCACTACCCCGCCCTGCTGCTCAGCCTTTTCCCCTACCTCTGCCATTGGGCCAAGCCGGGAATGATGGGCCAGAGCGGCGGCATGATGTTCAGCGTGGTGCTCACTTGTCTCTTCTGCCTTTGCATCGACCGGGGAAAGGTTGATAGCCTCTTTGAGCTCAAGGATGAGGCGAATGAGGCGAACGAGGAGGTTAAGGAAAGCATGAGGCGCTTCTCCACGAGAGAGTGCTCGAGGACAGGGTGCCTTCTCGTGCTCTGATCAGAAAGTCTGCTTTTGCCGGTACCACGCCAAGCAGGTGCCGGGTCGATTGCTTTGCTTGAGGCTAATCATTGAGACTGAGTGAGAAATGTGGGCGCTGTGCGTTCTGCATGATTGCGTTGGCAGATTGTGGCAGGCGTTGGGGGGGTGGAAGACGAGTTTCAGTTGCACATTGGTGCGGCTCCTGCCTTGCCTGGTCCTTGCTGCTTCAAGTCTTTGTGCCACCAGTGGAGATCTCAATTTTCCATTTTTTGCTGCTGCGAAGGGCATACAGCTCGTGGGGTCACCCTCCCTCCCACCAACATCGGCTGAGGCCGCTGCCGAGTCCGCTGCCGAGTCGGGCAAGGCGGCCACTCTCAGGGACTTCGTGCGCGCGGCCGCGCGCGCTGAGTCCAGGGCAGTGCTGGTGCCCGCGACAGCGGCGGATGCGGCAGAGGACGTATGGAAGGCCGGAAGACTGAGTCTTAGCGCGAGCTTGAAGCTTTTGATAGAGTTCGTCCCCGGGTTCCATAAGCATTTGAAATTTTGCGGCGCAGCGTTCAATAGAGTTCGTCCCCTTGTCGCCGCATTCTAAACACCGTCATCGCAGGCCTCGAAGCTTGGAAGCGCCTCGAAGCGTCAGGCGCTGCAATCCGCGGGCGCTGAGAACTTCCTCCGGGACCTGGGCCGCGCGGAGCGGGCGGCGCTGGCGGAGCCCTCGCGGGTCCCGGCCAAGACCGTGGAGGCGTGCGGCGGAACTGCCACTCGGGCAGGTTGCTCGGGGGGGGGGGGAGAGTGGGTTTCAGTTTGGTTTCCTCAGAGGGATTGCAACAAGGCTGGGAGTGGCGGGTTGCGCCCTTGGCGCTGCCGGCAGGTTGGGCGTGCAAGTTGGGAAGAGGTTTTCTTAAAGAATAGACGGGCCAGGTGTCAGGGTTGTGGATTGCGACTAGCTCAGGGCTCATTTCAGCACACCCAGCCGCCGCAGCCGCCAGTCGGCGCTCCCGGGCTTTGAGAAGCCGGCGATGGTGCAGCAGTCAGCGCAGACCCAGACGGTGCGGAGCTTGGCGTCAGTGAGAGGCCGCCGACGGGTGGTTTTGCGGTTTGTGCCCTACTGGTTTCCCTTCAGAAGCATCCGAAAAATGGGTCCCCGAGCTGTGAGCAAGTGGTAGGCTGGCGTAAAGGTGGAATTCGAGGAGGCGAAGAGAATTCACGGGAGGCTTCGCATGCCGCTTCCGCACTGCCGCTTCCGCACTAAGTCTGATCTTTGCCAGTGGGTCCGTGGCGATCTGACGCCATGCCTCGTGAGAAAGGAATCTCGCAGCCTGGACCCTCATGTTGCGTTCCTTGCGACTCCGAGGGAGCAGCCACGGAGACCATTTGCATCATCGTGCCGGGTACTCAGAAGAAACCTCGAGAAGGCATCTTTTTAAATAAATAAATAAATATATATATATATATATATTCTTAAATAGTTGTTTTTTATATTCACGATTTTTGGGAAGACTCCTCTGAAAACCCAGGTTCTGACTGCGACTCAGGAGTTCTCCTAAAGGTAAGCTGAGGACCGCTTCTCCACCTCACAGGTGAGGAAAATATCTCGCCTATCCGCCGTGAGTGCAGGGCTGGGCTGTGTAGTTGCGCACTCGAGTCATCCGATTCCGTTAGAGAAGCGGAAGTTGCTGTTTTGTCGCCCTCAGACAATGCGTTTAAGGCGACCAAGGTTTGGCAAAGAAAAGCACTCCTCCCGACACCAAAGAGTGGAAGAGCCAAACCCCGCTCCGGACATTGAACCTCTTTCTCTTTGTCCTGCCAGGGGTGCAGTGCTCTTGGCATTTATCGTGTGCTTGATCTTCAGCTGCTTCAAGCCTTCCACTAGTTACGAGGAGGCCGGCCGGGTGATTCAGATGTTTTCATTGAAACTGTGCCGGTGGCTGGGGTGGTAGGGGCAAGTGGCTTCCTTATATTGGCCTTGGTAGGATTTTCCAAAAGAGAAGGGTGGCTTCTGTTTAAGTCTTCCCTTGCCTCTCAAAATCGCCCCTTCCATGGAAGCCAACAAAGAAAAAACATTTGGGGCGTCCAAATCCCCAATTTTGTGGTACATACGCGCATTGCAACTTGGTTTTGGTGAACTGCCCCCCCCCCTATTCCCCCCCTATTCCCCCCCCCCCCCCCCCCCGCCCTCCCCACAACGCACCCGTCTCCGCACCAGGAGCCGCTGAAGGGCGACGGCCAGGCAGCGGCGACGCTGCAGCGGCCGGGCAGGCATGGAGAAGCGTTTCGGTTTCTTGGGGGTCGGAGTCTCTTTTTGCCCCCCATTTTGTGTCGTGGTGGGCATCTTCGAGGTTTCTTAAGATAGTCCTTTTTGTTGTTCTTGATGTCGGCATGTTTATCGGCGGTTTCCCTTCAAGGTTGTCCAACAGGGGGGTTGACAAGCGGTTCAAGTTGAGGGGTGGGGTCACGGGTCAAGGGCAAGTTTCGTCCTTGGCAAATCCGTGTGCTGCAGGACTGCCAAGCAGGATTGCTGCTGAGGCCCGTTGACTCACTGCCCCTTGACCAGCCGCAAGAGCAGAAAGACTGGCTAGCAATCATGCAACGGTCGACAAACATCATAAGTCTCAGATGCACCTTGCCACCTAGCCAGGCATTGCCGCATCGGCTTTGCGATGTAAGGGAAACCAGGCAAACAAAAAAACACACTGCCAGAAGTCTGTTGTTGCGCTGCAGGTGCAGCCGTGTCACCCGGAGCGCTTCGCTCGCTGGAAGGGCCATGTCGCAGACATGCTCGAATGGATTTCTTTGCCTCGGCAGCTCGTATGTAGGCTGCCAGGGTTATGTTATGTGAGTCTTGCATCTTAGAGCGTGGCAAAAAGGTGCGAGGGTGGTCACTTTGGTGATACCAAGACCTGATTTATAGTGGCCTGGTGCCCGAAGCAAGAGCTGCCTACCGGCTCCAGAAAGAAAAGCCTTCTTAGAAGGGGTTTGCATGGTACAACACGGCAACGCAACAACAGAGCAGCGCGAACAGCAAACACATCGCGAGAACACATGAACTTGAACCTAGTTTCGTTTCAGGCCGCGGTTCCCTTACCGGCCTAGCACATTTCTATTGTAGGTCGAGGCATTTGTTCGCAGTGTGCATGGCAACCTGGCTGCCCCGACATGGTGCCTTGGCTAATTCAGACGCATGATGCGGTCGAATGGTTTCGTCGCAAACTAGGGGAAGAACTGAAATGGTTTTTTTCCCTTTGGTGGCGCACGCCGAACAAAAAGTTCAGATTCCGCTCTTGGTATGCCAGGCTCTCACTTCCGAAGATGACTACGACTGCCTGTGCAAGGCTGCTCCGCTCAGGGCGCACGATATGCGATGAGAACCGGTTTTGGCAGAGCGGGTTGCCTTAAGGGCATGATATGAAATCAAAAAAGCAACTGCATGACTGCATGACATATAGTCTTGGTACCGTCGGTTTGGGGAGAACATGGGAGGCCACCCCGAAATGCCCAACAAATGCCTGGGGCGGCACCCAAATTTCAACATGTCTTCGGGGGCCTGAGAGTTTTGTTGAGGGGTAGTCAGCATTTGCCATTTTGGACGTCTGTGTCTGCAGGTGGTCCTTGTGGGCGATGTTTCGGTTGGCAAGACCCACTTGCTGTCCCGGTACATGAAGGACGGCCTTTCGGTGCAAGTGAGAATCATGCGCTTGGTCTGCCTTTGCTTTCCTTTGACAAGCAAGCAACAAGTGTGCCGATTTGATGAAGCATACCCTTTGCTCGCCAGCATTCACTTGTTTTGCAGGACGACCTGCCGAAGGCTGGCGCGCAACATGCGACTAATGGAATCCGCAGGTGGCCCGAAGACGCGACCGTGTCGGCTTCTGTTCTGACGGCTCAAGATCACAAAATCGGCTTTGTTTGGTAGTGAATTCGAGGAAGGTCGTCATGCAGATCTTCGTGAAGACCTTGACTGGCAAGACCATCACCCTGGACGTCGAGGCCAGCGACACCATCGATAACGTGAAGGCCAAGATCCAGGATAAGGAGGGCATCCCGCCTGACCAGCAGCGCTTGATCTTCGCAGGCAAGCAGCTTGAGGACGGCCGCACGCTTTCGGATTACAACATCCAGAAAGAATCAACGCTGCACTTGGTGCTTCGCTTGCGAGGTGGCATGCAGATCTTCGTGAAGACGCTGACTGGCAAGACCATCACCCTGGACGTCGAGGCCAGCGACACCATCGATAACGTGAAGGCCAAGATCCAGGATAAGGAGGGCATCCCGCCTGACCAGCAGCGCTTGATCTTCGCAGGCAAGCAGCTTGAGGACGGCCGCACGCTCTCGGATTACAACATCCAGAAAGAATCAACGCTGCACTTGGTGCTTCGCTTGCGAGGTGGCATGCAGATCTTCGTGAAGACGCTGACTGGCAAGACCATCACCCTGGATGTCGAGGCCAGCGACACCATCGATAACGTGAAGGCCAAGATCCAGGATAAGGAGGGCATCCCGCCTGACCAGCAGCGCTTGATCTTCGCAGGCAAGCAGCTTGAGGACGGCCGCACGCTCTCGGATTACAACATCCAGAAAGAATCAACGCTGCACTTGGTGCTTCGCTTGCGAGGTGGCATGCAGATCTTCGTGAAGACGCTGACTGGCAAGACCATCACCCTGGACGTCGAGGCCAGCGACACCATCGATAACGTGAAGGCCAAGATCCAGGATAAGGAGGGCATCCCGCCTGACCAGCAGCGCTTGATCTTCGCAGGCAAGCAGCTTGAGGACGGCCGCACGCTCTCGGATTACAACATCCAGAAAGAATCAACGCTGCACTTGGTGCTTCGCTTGCGAGGTGGCATGCAGATCTTCGTGAAGACGCTGACTGGCAAGACCATCACCCTGGACGTCGAGGCCAGCGACACCATCGATAACGTGAAGGCCAAGATCCAGGATAAGGAGGGCATCCCGCCCGACCAGCAGCGCTTGATCTTCGCAGGCAAGCAGCTTGAGGACGGCCGCACGCTTTCGGATTACAACATCCAGAAAGAATCAACGCTGCACTTGGTGCTTCGCTTGCGAGGTGGCATGCAGATCTTCGTGAAGACGCTGACTGGCAAGACCATCACCCTGGACGTCGAGGCCAGCGACACCATCGATAACGTGAAGGCCAAGATCCAGGATAAGGAGGGCATCCCGCCCGACCAGCAGCGCTTGATCTTCGCAGGCAAGCAGCTTGAGGACGGCCGCACGCTTTCGGATTACAACATCCAGAAAGAATCAACGCTGCACTTGGTGCTGCGCCTTTGAGGAGTTTTGCCCGGCTTGCTTTTGTGGCACTGCCCTTGATTGCGGACTGCTCCTGAATTCGAGCACCTCTGAATTGAGGTATTGCACAGTGGACCCATCTTTGATTCTGGGCCTGTACAGCATCCACTTGTGCCGATCATTTAAGCTTCGCCCAGTTGCCCAAAAAGAACATTTGGAACTCCTTGGTATGGCAAGCTGGTCATTTTCGCTGGGTCCATGGGACTGGTCGCCGGATTGTTTGCCATACAGGCAGCTGGAAACAGGTTTGTCTCGGGGGAATTCCTACCCCAACCGGTTTCGCTTTCGCTCCTCTTGAAACAGCCACAAAAGCCCCCAAACAGTTGCCTGCTTCAAAAATGACACTGAGCATCGTGGCCTGACAGGCTCCGGCGGCCACGATCGGTGTGGGGCACTTGGAATGGGCACCGGGTCTTTGGGCGTGTTTGATACGGTCCCTTTTGGGCTGGTATCTTTGTTTGTTGGAGTTGGATCCCATCCAAAGATCCTGCGCAAGGATTTAGCACGACTTGCTGGGAGGTTTGCGCAGGGCTGGTTGAACGTCTGGAGGAAAACTATCAGAAGCACTCTCCAATCGGCTTGATTGATGCTCTGGATTCCTTTGTTGCGCGTGTCCATATTTGCCGCATTGGATGCACGTGTGTATTTTGCTTGGCTTTGAGATTACTGCCTTGCCTGCGCCCACTGGATACTGACCGGGCACGATACACAAAGCCGCCGTCAGGTTGAGTTCGCAACGTCTGGGCACCGAGCTCTGGGCGCTTTAGCATGTGAGTTTCTGTTCCCCTGTCAGCGCACAGAAGCGGGAATCCACGTTGGCCTGCGTTGGAAAAGCGGGGAAACCTTGTTTGAAGCCTGAAAATTGAGCCACTCATGCGGACAAGTCCCCAAAGCCTAGTTTAGAACTCGGGAGATGGTTAGTTGCTTGCCTGGAGAAGTCTTGCAATGGATTTCCCACGGACAGGAACCCCATGATTGTCCCAAAAGGTTATAAAGGAGTGTGCGTCGAAGAGGATCCTGGAAGGAAAGCCAGTGGCAGCTTTGTTGGGTGCGTAATGCCATGCGACGGATGGCAGCCTTCCACCGGTCGGCCGAGGAAGACCATGAAGCTCTCTTCCGGGGTCAACGTCAAGGCAGGTGTCCCAAAAAGCGAAGGCGACTGGCGGCGATTTTTCACGACGGATTTCCGGGCATTGGAGAAAGGAACTGTCTGGGAGAAGGGCTCCGGGAAGCCGATGTCCTCGACAAAAGAAAATGGGCGCATGGGCGCCGACCAAAAGGACACCCATATCAACTTGCGAGTGCCCTGTCAGACGCAGATCTGGGACACGGCTGGCCAGGCAGGGCTTATAGTTCCCGGCACTTGGATGGGGCGCACACTTTGGAGAAGAGGCTACAAGCGGCGCCGCACCTCTTGTGGGCCATGTTATATTTTGGGCTCAAGAGCGAGTCGCTTCTGACTCACGATTGTCATTTCGGGGCCCGGTGATTAGCTTCAAACTTCCCAAATTGAGAGCTCGTAGCTCGCGCTTGAGGAGAGATACCGGGCCATCACGCGTGCCCACTACCGGCGGGCCGCAGGGGTGGGGGCTCTCAGGCAAGGCAGCCGTGCAGCCCCGAGAAAGCCACATTTGATCCCAGTGGAGACGGTTAGAAAGTGTGAAAGGGAGCGTCGAAGTGACTCAAAGGTTGACCTTGAGCTGGGACCATTTATGGCCCGAGTTTTGAGTGTGACTCGGCTTCGAGATACTAAGCTGGGACTTGGGAAGTGCGTGGATCGACCGTTTGTGGGCGATGGCACTGTGGTCCGCTGTTGGTGCCGAGGCCGTGCTGGTGTACGATGTCACCAGGCCCGGCTTCGAGCGCATCCCGAGAGCGCTCAAGCAGAATTCATAGGGGATGGCATGGGGTGCACTCGCGCAATCTGGCATGTCAAGACAACTTTTGTCAGTTGGGACCATGAACGTTGAATTGCTCACATGCAAAGTTAGTCGCGGTTCAGGTTCTGAGATACCCACCCATTTGGCGAGGGGCCTCCCAGCGCAGCTACTCCTGGGACTGCTAGTCTTGCTCGAACGGGCACCCTTTCACACAAGGGGAGCCTCCTGCCTTTCTCACTTTTAGGGCTCTCCCACCTTTTTCTGCAGGCAGGAAACCTTCAGGAGCTGCTCCCTTTGGGTTCGGATGCTCAGCATGGGCCTTTTTTTTCCCCGTTATTTTGGCGCGGTCGGGTCCTGGGCTTGAGACCTGGTCATGGCTCATGGGATGTTCGCGCCCGAACGAGGAGCTTTGCGGGCGTTCTGGAAGGGAACTCAACCTAAAAGTCTTGGCATTCTGCATTGCAGAAAGAAGGAGACAGCCACAAACTTGGCAGATGGCATTGAGATCTCAGGTGACAGAGGTGCGAGAAGGCACGGTGGGGCCGATAGCCACTAGGGCGCTGTGGGGCTCCACCCCAAAACACTCGTCTTTCGGGAGTCGCCGCAGGTTCGCGATTTTGCGGAGCGCCCGTGTCACTGGCACACCTGGTTGGACCTACAAACAGACTCCAAGCCTCCCTTTTTTGAAAAGGTCGTTTTGACGTTGGTCCCAATCCCTTTGGGTACAGCTGTCATGGCCCTGAGCGGCTTGGCAAAATAGGGGCTCACCGGCTGTCCACTGTGTCGTCACTAGGTGGGTCCCTTGTAGAAAGGGCGTCTCGGAAACAGCCAGGCTTAGGCAAGCCCCTTCAGGCGCCCAGCCAAATGCGATCATCATGCTCGTCGGCAACAAGGCAGGTGCTTGCGGCGCACCGCTCACCGCACGCTTCAATGAAGCCATCCGACAGATCGATCTCGTGGAGCAAGACCCCTCTTCGCGGCAGGCCCGCTGCCGCCGCCGCTTCGGTTCCGACTCCGAAGTTCCGAAGCCGAAGCCTCGGTGTCGCCAGGTCTACCACGACGTCGCGGCGGAGTTTGCTCGCCAGAACGGCCAGCCACTTAAGAGCTGAAGAGAGCTGAAGGGAGCAAATGCTGAGAGATGGCTTCTAGGCCTCATGTTCATGGAGGTGCGGGATGGGGGGCCGGGCAGACGGTCGGCATGTTGCTGATGTCGCTGGTTGTTTGAATGAGCGCCTGATTGCACGACAGACATCTCGGATGTATACGAAGGTTTTGGGTTCCTCCGCCCGTATCCCGAGACGCAGCGATGCCGCGACAGCCGGCGCGAGGCCAGCGCGGTGTCGGGCGCCAACGTGAAGCGCGCCTTTGAGGATCTTCTGCAGGAGGCGCCGGGCCCGTGAGCGTGGGACCGGACCCGTCGCTAAAGGCAATGGGATTTTGGAGCTTCAGTCCCTGCCAGGTGTATGCAAAGGCTCCCAAGGAGCCGGAAACTTGGGACTTGGGCCTGAGAAGCCGGCTTTGGTGCTTTCGCGGGTTCCGAACTGACGGCCGTTCGGTGCTCACACGGAGGGTTCTTTCTTGCATAACCCTAAACCCTAAACCATGGGGGGGGGCTACTTGAGGGGAAGATGGAGAGACGGCCAGACGCCTGGAGCCAAGGTCCAAGGGCCTTGAGCAGGGACCCCAAGCGCAATGGCCCATGCAACGCAAACGCCCCATAGAAATTCTAATAACTCGTGCCGTTTTGAAAGCGAGCTGCAACTGCTCTGCAGACCTCATGCCTGCCCTTCCATGGCTACCTCTCAAAATTATACCAATCCCCCAAAAACATGTGCCCTGCACTTGAGCCCGAGGAATGAAAGCGGCTCCGACATGGGTGCTGCCCGAGACTAGGTGGAATGCGAGCAAGTCTCATCGAACGTGCCTCGGGAATGTGCCCAAAGTAGGGACTAGCAGGGAACCCTAAAACTGTCTACAACTGCTTGGTTCTTCTCTTGGCTTCCCTTGGACAACCAAACGAGGGCTTCCCAATCGGAGACACCCACATGGATTTAATTGACGAGGTGACCATCTCTCCAACCAATGGCAACCGACGAGCAGCGTCAGGCGGGAAACATGCGTGCATAGCGGCGCGATTGGAAACTTCTCGCCAGGTTGTGACTACTGCCGGGCATGACTCGTCTGTGTCCTTTGCGCCCTCTTTGCACGCAGGACTTGAGAGATGTTTAACGTGTTGGTCGGAGATGGGGTTTGCAGGTCTCACCGTCTCACCCTTTGGCCAAAAAGCTCGCAAGTATTGGCGTGTGGAGCCTGCACAGGCAACTGATTGATTCTGTAGGGATTGCTCCCATCCTGGCCCTGTGGTGTGGCACATGACTGTCACGGTGTTGTGCATGGGTAGAAGTTCGCGCCACGCGGAGACTCAGCTTGGCCGGCAGTGACCCATCGATATGGACAAAGGGTGTCTTGGAATGACTCCGGACACTGTGTAACCATGGCCTTAGCCAAGTGGCGCTTGCAATTCGACTGAAGCCCAAAGGCCTATCCCATTGCGCCTTTGCCATGGGCTGGGCACATGTCTCCCACTTCAGGTAGGGCGCCAAGGCGACTTTGTTGAGGTAGGGCACTTCATGTCGCAGCATTGCATGCTGATTGGGCCTCAAAAAGGAGTCTGTTCTTGAGCCGACCCCGTTTAGACGGGGCCGGTCTTTGCTCTTCCCGTCTCCCTGAGGCTGCAGAGTGAGCTTGCCAGGCTCACAGGGACTTTCTGCCTTAGGCGCGAGCAAGCGTTTCAGCATTCGTGTGGGTTGGAGGGCAATTGTTGAAGTCTTAGAGGCGCAGGCCGCAAAGAGGGATTGCACGCCGTTAATGACTTGTCAAGAAGCTTGCAACATTTCCTTTCTTGCGCGCGCGACTCGGCTCAAGAGAGGACGTCTCATTGTAAATTTGGTGAAAACTCACAGACCGAAAGCTCTCTTGCAACACACTTTGTCTCTGCTCCCATTGTCAGTTGCCAGGCTCAGGGTTTGAGCGCCATGCGCCGCCGGGCGGTCCTTTGCTGCCTCCTGGGCGGCGCTTGGCGCTTCGCCGCGCCCTCAGACTTCGCGCGCCCGGCGCGCCTGGCGCGGCTCGGGCGAGCCGCGGGGCCCAGCGACCAGCCGCCGCCGGTGCAGCCGCCGCAGCTGGCGAGGGATCCGCCGGTGGAGACTGGGCGCAACCCGCAGGCGGTCGCGCAGGACTTTGCGCCGCGGCGGTCATGGGGATACGGGCACGTGGGACCTGGACCGAATGCGAACGCTGTCTTATGCCTCTAAGATGACTGGTGCTGCGGCTAAACCACCGACCCGAAAGGAAGAGACATTCGAGCTTCATGAAGTGTGGCTAGCAAGTGGGCGAAGTTAGCAAATTCATGCAAGTTCCGTTTAACGTTGGCTGTGGTTTTGGGATGTGCGTGGGACTAGGTTTGGGGCATCGTCTCCTTTCCGCTGATCATTTTCCTGGCGGTCGCCGCCTACCTCTTCACTGGCTTCGTGGGCACTGCCACGAAGCCCCCGCCGGATGTGTCGCTGTCCGAGGCGCGAGCGAATGAACCGGCCCAGTGCTTTCTGCAAGAGGGGCTCTGAGATTTCATAGTAGCCAAAATAATGTAGCCCAAGGTCCATTTGGGAGGAAGGGATGGAGGGGGGGCAAAATTTGTTTTTGCGCAAACTGGGCGACTCAATAAGTTTCCCAAGCCTTCGACGGGAACCGGTATTCTGACCGCGGTTCCAATAAATATGTTTTACAGAAGTGACATTGGAGGTCTTCCACACGCAGACACTGGGCAAGCTGTTGAGTACTGTTCTCTGGGCTGTGGGTTTTTCCATGGCTTTGGAGCACGAGCCTGCCTGTTCGGCTCGCGATGTTCCATGGCCAAATTATCAGTCCCTCCTTCCCCCTAACCTCCCACACCCCCAGCCCGACCCCATCCCACTGGGTCTCTTTAGTGAATAGCTTGAGGGGTTCTTCTGGGGATGGTTTTCCTTCAAACCACAACTTAAAGTATACCCAATCTCACCGAGGGATGATTCTTGTTCTGGAGAACCACCAACACCCATGAACACTTGAGGATTCGAAAGGATGGTCGCCCCGCCCCCCTCACCCACTTCACTTCACTTCACTTCACTTGAAATCAACTTGACTTCGCTCCACCCACTCCCCACTTCACCCCAACCCATTTCACTCCCACTTCACTTTACTGGTGTTTTCCAAGTTCCAAGTCGCGAAAGTTCAGTGGGTCTTTTCACCACTTGGGTGACTTTGATGGACTGACCCACCCCACCCCACCCCACCCCACCCCACCCCACCCCACCCCACCCCACCCCACCCCACCCCACCCCACCCCACCCCACCCCACCCCACCCCACCCCACCCCACCCACCCCACCCCACCCCACCCCACCCCACCCCACCCCACCCCACCCCACCCCACCCCACCCCACCCCACCCCACCCCACCCCACCCCGCACCCCTCCCCCAGGCGCTGATGGCGCTCACGGCCATCGAGGACGACTTTGGGCAGCGGGGGCCCTCCATGGGCCTCCGCGCGCGCCTGGCGCGCTGGTTTCAGCGCCTTGGGCGGAGCTTCAGCGAGCCGGGCCCGGGGAGGTGTTCCAAACCCAAGTCCCGTTTTTGCGGGGATAATTTTTACTTCAGAATGGAGGGACCACAAGGGGATGAATCATGAATAATATATACATATATATATATATGTATAGATACAATTTCATGCATTTTTTCTGTATATATATATATACACATGGTGCTTTGGCTGCTGCTTTGGCTCTTTTAAAGCCAGCGGAATAGTAAGGCCTCTGGAAGGACGTACTGCCCGCTTTCAATGGGTTCTGGCGCTCGGTTGTGTTGGCCCCATTTTGGTTCCACATGCCGAACTTGTTCGGAAGGTCGACCCTATTGAGAATCAGATTCCCAAAAGAACCCCCAATGATCTTTTTCAACCCCCAAACGGTTGCTCTCACTCTCCATGATGTGTGCCTTGTTCAATGCGAAAGGACGGCTCCAACAAAGGGAGCAGGAAGGCCTGGCGCCCCTTCGCCGGCTCTTTCGCCCCCAAATGCTTGTTGCCCAGCCGCAATCTGCTTGGGCTGTCGGACACAAAAAGCCGGTCGCGGTTCAGATCTATGGAGACCACTTGTTTTAACACTTCTACAAGAGAAACAAGGAATCACCGCCTGGGCTCTCCGGCCAGCCCAATGGGTCCACGTCGAGTGCCGCTGGTCCGTGGAAGAAAACTTCATGGGTTCGGTCAGAATATTTAGATCACCATTGGACAGACATTGACTCCCCACAATTTCCCAGAGCCAAAACCACGTCCTCGACAGCTTCCAAAGGTGTATTTGCGCATGGGAGTGTCTTTCTTGGTGCGTCTTTGTTTGGTAACACCACTGCAAAAACACTTTGCCGAAAAAGCTGACGAACCAAAAAACACACCGACAATGGATGGTCTCCAAGTGTCAGGTGGTCAGAGCCGCAGCGGCGCCTGGACTGGGAGTTGGACCAGTTGGACCGCCTGGGGGTGGCGCGGACGCAGCGCGAGAAGATCCGGCAGCGCGGGGTGGACGCGGCGGAGGACATCGCGCAGGCGAGGATGGCAGCGTGGGGGTGAGGAGGGAAAGGGTGCAAGAAGAGTTGAATGAGGGCTCGTTCCGTCGGAGCCCACTTCAGAAGCACGATCTTTATGGGAGTCCAACTTTGGAGTCAATTTGTTGTGCTTCAATAACCAGCTGCCTGTAACTTGGCGCTGTTAGTGCTGATCGAGACAGTATACAACATGATGGACCTGATTTGAGGCCGGGGTGTTGGAAAGAGGAGATGAGGGCCTCTCGCGAGGGACAATTTATAGCGCACGTTCTTGCTGAAGTCTTGTTGTACTTTGGAACCCGCCTTGTTTCGACCAAGAACCTTATTCTCCCATTCTCCCACTTGCCGGTTGAGCTTGGGTTCGTCTCAAAATGTGGGAACCTCCCAAATGGAGCCCAGTTTAGATTAACGTTTTCAGGCCTGTAAACCAACCCAAACGGCCCAAATGGCCCTTTGCCTTCTTTGGGCCTTGGCCCTTGGCCATGGGCAGGTGGTGGAGTACTTCATCGCCGGCAACGGCATCATCGACGACTCCGGGTCCGCCAAGTTCGCGGATCGCATCGCCAGCCCCGGGGATCGAGAGAGAGAGAGAGAGAGAGAAAGAGACGGCGGCTTTGTAAAACATCAAGCTTTGGGTCAATCTTGACATACCGTGGGCGACATCCAGAAATGCACCAAGAAACCATGGTTGAAACCAGATCGTTTGTTGGCATTTGCAGGGGAATCGAATCAGAAACCAGGGCTTAGGTGGTGCGAAATGGATTTCGGCACAGTATGTTTCCTTTTGGTGGGGTGATGCTCAGGGGGCATATAGGGACACTCTGTAGAACCTTAAAAGGACATATTACGGCCTTGTTTGGCGGAAACCAGGGGAGCGAGGTACAGAGCCCTGTCTGCCAGCCCCCTTATGTACGGAAGAGAACTATCTTGAATGCCGGTATTAACTTGATGGACATCGGTACGGGCCTGATTCAAACACTTTAAGTCATCTGAAATGAACCATTTCGGGCCACAAGGGCGGTCGATTTTCAGGCGTATGTACATTTTGCCCATTTGGAGACTCCGAGGCGAGGAGGCGTCGAGGGGCTACCCGGAGGCGGAGAAGTTTGCGGAGAAGGCCTTGCACGAGGGCCGCCGGGCACTGGCGGAGACCGTGGCCATGATCGAGGCGGGTTGACGGCTGGGCTTGGGGGAGTTCGGGGGGCGGGGGCGTTTGGGGTGGGTAGGTTGGTGGGCAGTGAAGCTAATGAAAACGATAGGGTGTGGGAGAATTCAGCCAGGTGCGGTAAGGCACTGTGTCGCGGGACCAAAATCAGCGCAGTGCAAGCCGAGGATGAGACAATCAAGGGTTTCTGATGTGCATTTGGCATTAAGGCAGTGAGGAGGTGGGGTGATCAGTTGGAAGTTTTGGGCCGCCACCAAGCTCTTGCCCAGGAAGTGGCGGACTATGAGGACGAGTGAACCCATGGGCCGTGGCGTGCCAGCCTTCCAGACTTTGGTCTTGTGATACGCTCGCAGCGTGTCGCGCGAGCGCCGGCGACGTTGAGACTGACGACTCGCCGCTTCGGAAGCGGCGCGGAGGGCGGAGGGCGGAGGGCCGGAGTGGAGTTCTCGAGGCAAAGGCCGCGGATTTCTCTGGGCGAAAAGCGCGTGCGGTGATCGATGTTTGGATTGTTTCAAGCTGAGGGTTTGGGCAGTGTCTGGGAAGCCTGTGCAGCTTGCGCCAGGCGGCTGGAACTCCTGCTGAGAGGAAAAGCTGGCTGACCCAAGGGGCCTAGGGGGGTGGCCATGGGTCAACTGGTTTTCTCGTTTTTGTTGTCCGACTTCTGGCCAGCGCCTTGGAACAGACCTGCAAGGGCGCTGCGCGTGATGCCTGTGACTCGCCGATTTTGGGCCCAAGCCGAACTGTGGTTTACGGGGATTTCACAGCAAGAAAGTTCCCGGCCTGAGCCCCAGTGCGGATGTTTCTGGCCGGAATCTGGGGACTTCCTTGCAAGTCGCCTCATGCTCCTGGATCCAGCAAGAGTTCGAGGAGATGGCGCAGTGCGGCAATGAACTGGGCAGGCAAAGGCTCAGTGACAAAGAAAGAGCGCCCCCCGAGTGCATGCGCGATGCCCCGCCTTCCCTTTCCGTCACGGAAAAGAAAACGGGTAAGGAGACGCAGTTGTCGCCTCCCTCTCTCCGTGCGCTGGCCCCGAGGCCGGTTGTTCTATGCACGATGACCGCACAGTGAATCCATGGCCATGAACGTGTTGGTGGCCGGGGCCCCAAGCGAGCTCGAGCCGCCGAGTTTTCCAAAACAACGATCGACCCGCCTCGGGCCTGAAGGGTCCGGAGAGATTTGCAGGGGACTGGGCAGGTAGGTATCCAAAGTCGTTGGACAGAAGTCAGCAAAAGGCCTCACCTGGAGTTTACACACACACAAACAACACACTCGCACCAAGAAAGAAACATATGCGTAAATTTTCCTCTCGCCATTGGTAGCGATCTTGACAGTGGCCTTTGGGGGTTTGTCTTTGCGTCATCAACGCGGTGAGAAAGCTGTCTCAGGCCCATATCTTGTTCGTGTAGAGAAATTTGGGTTGATTGGCTCCCTATTTTTCCTTCAATAGCATACCCATTTCATGGCCATCCTATAGTTCAATGGGAAACCACGCCCTGTTGTGACACCTCCAAACCGGGCTCCAAACCACGTGGGAAGCTGAAGAGAGTCTCGTGCCTTCCTACACTTCGGGTGGGCGAAATGGCCCATAGGCCCTGCCACTGGTCTTGACCCTGGGCGTGAAGTTGGCCTGGTCACCACACCTCGAGGCTCGGATTTGGGGGAGCTCTGGGTGTTTCTCGTGATCGGAGGATCGATGGTCTGGAAAATGAGACCGGGTCTGTCTCAAAATAGGTTGCCCCCGGATGGTGGTTGAAAGGAAACCACAAGCAAGCAAACTTTTGGGGGCGCTCCTATTTTTTGAGACGCACCCAACTGGTATTGGTGTGTTTCACTGGTATTGGCGTGTTTCACCAGCCCGCAGGCAGTGTCGCCCTTTTCGGCCCTTTCTGCGGATGACAACTTCTTCTCTCTGCTGCAGGCTGGCTGTTAAGTTCAATCCATGACGTGTGGCCAATGTGTGCGTGTGTACTTTCCGCGACAATGTGATTCCAGTGAGTTCACATTCGTTGAGCGCCGGCTGATTGGATGCTGCTCTGTTTGCTGTGCTAGCCTTGTTGTGCTTGCTTTCTGCTGTATTTGCCAGCTGGACTGGTACTACGGAAGCAAGCACCGGAGGAGCACTTGACTTCGGGACGGGCTTAGCCGGAAGCATCCGGAAGCTGTTTTGGCTTTAGCAACCTCCTGGAAGAAATTCCCAGAGTTTCAGTGCTGAGCACTAAGTCGCCATGGCGCTCAACGATGAGGTTGTAGCACTTGTTGTGGACAATGGCAGCGGTGTGTGCAAGGCTGGCTTTTCCGGTGACGACGCACCGCGGTCAGTGTTCCCGTCCATCATCGGCCGGCCCAAGATGCCTGGGATCATGGTCGGCATGGACATAAAAGACCTCTGCGTGGGGGATGAGGCGCAGACCAAGAGGGGTGTGCTCACGCTGAAGTATCCCATCGAGCATGGCATCGTGACAAACTGGGATGATATGGAATCTTTGCTGCCGCTGGCATGGTGTCATGTTGTGCATTCATTTCTTTCGTTGCTTTACTCGATAGATTTCAAGTGCAAGTCTTTCTCACGGATCGACTTGATAATACCTTTTGGGGCAGCTGTTGTCCAAACGAAACTCAGGAGAAGATCTGGCATCACACGCACCGCTCTGAGTTGAAGTTTTTGCTTGGGTCTCTAGAAGCAAACAGATGACAGAATTGCAAGAAGTGCGGGGAGAGCGTGAACTGGCAGATGAAGAGAGCAAATCGAGTTAGGGAGTGCCAGACACGACCAAGGTTCTACAACGAGCTGCGGTGCTCACCGGAAGAGCATCCAGTGCTCTTGACAGAAGCGCCATTGAATCCCAAGGCTAACCGAGAGCGAATGACGCAAATCATGTTCGAGACCTTCAACGTTCCAGCGCCCTCACGTCAACTAAGCTTTTCTTTTTGCACTGCTGATGGCTAGCAATCCGAGTAGTGGTGTGTCCAGGAACGGCCGGTGTGGTTGGTGATTCTGTTCAATATAAGAGCTTCAAGCTGTAGACTGTCAATTGTAGTCATTGGGGCAAGACACTGTAGGCCATGTACGTCGCCATCCAAGCCGTGCTGTCCTTGTATTCTTCTGGCCGAACCACGGGCATTGTGATGGACAGCGGTGATGGCGTCAGCCACACGGTGCCCATCTACGAGGGCTATGCGCTACCCCATGCCATCCTGCGATTGGATCTGGCTGGCCGTGATCTCACGGAGTACATGATGAAGATCCTCACGGAACGAGGCTACGCTTTCACCACCACTGCAGAGAGGGAGATCGTGCGCGACATGAAAGAAAAGCTTTGCTACGTTGCGATCGACTTCGACAGTGAGATGAAGGCTTCCTCCGAAAGTAGCGACAAGGAGAAGACGTATGAGTTGCCAGATGGAAACATCGCCACAGTGGGCAATGAGCGTTTCCGCTGTGCCGAGGTTCTTTTTCAACCAAGCTTTGTGGGCAAGGAGGCCATGGGCATCCATGACACAACCTTTCAGTCCATCATGAAATGCGATGTGGATATCAGGCGAGATTTGTACGCCAACATTGTGCTCTCAGGTGGCACGACCATGTTCCCGGGCATCGGAGAGCGCATGACCAAGGAGCTGACTGCACTTGCGCCCGCCACCATGAAGATCAAGGTTGTGGCCCCGCCTGAGCGAAAGTACAGTGTGTGGATTGGCGGATCCATTCTGTCCTCTCTGAGCACCTTCCAGCAGATGTGGATCTCCAAGGGGGAGTACGACGAGAGTGGCCCCACCATCGTCCATCGCAAGTGCTTTTGAGGAAATGAAGCCACGTGACGCCACTTTGTACAGATGCATCTTTGGCACATGACAGCTGGGCTGTGTTGTAGAGACTTAAGCCTCAAGTTCACACCCAGGTTCATGGCATTTCGTGGCATTTGGCGGCAGAGGGCTAGAGGCCCAGGTGGCCAAGCTACTTGCAACCTTACAGCGTTGCACTTTGCGAGTCACCGATCTGGGCAGTGTGGCCAAACATGTGCTAAAGCTAGCTTCATTGAGTAGATGGGGGCGGCGGTGGCAGGATTTTTTTCATTTTGTTTCTCCATTTTTGAACACATACTTTTATGTTTTGCATGTTTGCAACAGTTGGGCGCATCCGACGCATCCCATGTTGTGGCCATGTCTTGTTTTTGTGAGATAATGCAACTTCATCCATGTCTTGTCTTTGCATTATCTCCAGCGAGTTAATATTCTTTGATCATCGCCTCAAGGATTGTTGCCGTGTTTGCTGTGCTAGCCTTTCCTGTCCTTGCTGGTTGCTGTATTTTCCAGCTGTACTGGTACTGCTGCCAAGCAAGACCATAGCAAGCACCGGGGGAACACTTGACTTCGGGACGGGCTTAGCCGGAAGCATCCGGAAGCTGTTTTGGCTTTAGCAACCTCCTGGAAGAAATTCCCAGAGTTTCAGTGCTGAGCACTAAGTCGCCATGGCTCTCAACGATGAGGTTGTAGCACTTGTTGTGGACAATGGCAGCGGTGTGTGCAAGGCTGGCTTTTCCGGTGACGACGCACCGCGGTCAGTGTTCCCGTCCATCATCGGCCGGCCCAAGATGCCTGGGATCATGGTCGGCATGGACATGAAAGACCACTGCGTAGGGGACGAGGCGCAGACCAAGAGGGGCGTGCTCACGCTGAAGTATCCCATCGAGCATGGCATCGTGACAAACTGGGACGATATGGAATCTTTGCTGCCGCTGGCACGGTGTCATGTTGTGCATTCATTTCTTTCGTTGCTTTACTTGATGAAATTAAATTTTCAAGTGTTTCTCACGGATCGACTTGATGGTACCCTTTGGCGTCAACTGTTGCCCAATCGAAGCTGAGGAGAAGATATGGCATCACACGCACCGCTCTGAGTTGAAGTTTTTGCTTAGGCCTCTAGAAGCGAACAGATGATAGGATGGTGAGAAGTGCGGCGAGAGCGTAAACTGGCAGATGAAGAGAGCAAATCGAGTTAGGGAGCGCCAGACATGACCAAGGTTCTACAACGAGCTGCGGTGCTCACCCGAAGAGCATCCAGTGCTCTTGACAGAAGCGCCGTTGAATCCCAAGGCCAACCGAGAGCGAATGACGCAGATCATGTTTGAGACCTTCAACGTTCCAGTGCCCTCGTGTCAACTAGCCCTTTTCCTTTGGCCACTGATGGCTGGTTGGTGATTATGTTCAATCTAGGGGCTTTAAACTGTTGTAGATTGTCAGACTGTCACTTAGACTCCTAGACTTTGTGCGGCAAGACACTGTAGGCCATGTACGTCGCCATCCAAGCCGTGCTGTCCTTGTATTCTTCTGGCCGAACCACGGGCATTGTCATGGACAGCGGTGATGGCGTCAGCCACACGGTGCCCATCTACGAGGGCTATGCGCTACCCCATGCCATCCTGCGATTGGATCTGGCTGGCCGTGATCTCACGGAGTACATGATGAAGATCCTCACGGAACGAGGCTACGCTTTCACCACCACTGCAGAGAGGGAGATCGTGCGCGACATGAAAGAAAAGCTTTGCTACGTTGCGATCGACTTCGACAGTGAGATGAAGGCTTCCTCCGAAAGTAGCGACAAGGAGAAGACGTATGAGTTGCCAGATGGAAACATCGCCACAGTGGGCGATGAGCGTTTCCGCTGTGCCGAGGTTCTTTTTCAACCAAGCTTTGTGGGCAAGGAGGCCATGGGCATCCATGACACAACCTTTCAGTCCATCATGAAATGCGATGTGGATATCAGGCGAGATCTGTACGCCAACATTGTGCTCTCAGGTGGCACGACCATGTTCCCGGGCATCGGAGAGCGCATGACCAAGGAGCTGACTGCACTTGCGCCCGCCACCATGAAGATCAAGGTTGTGGCCCCGCCTGAGCGAAAGTACAGTGTGTGGATTGGCGGATCCATTCTGTCCTCTCTGAGCACCTTCCAGCAGATGTGGATCTCCAAGGGGGAGTACGACGAGAGTGGCCCCACCATCGTCCATCGCAAGTGCTTTTGAGGAAATGAAGCCGCATGACGCCACTTTGTACAGATGCATCTTTGGCACATGACAGCTGGGCTGTGTTGTAGAGACTTAAGCCTCAAGTTCACACCCAGGTTCATGGCATTTCGTGGCATTTGGCGGCAGAGGGCCAGAGGCCCAGGTGGCCAGGCTACTTGCAACCTTACAGGGTTGCACTTTGCGAGTCACCGATCTGGGCAGTGTGGCCAAACATGTGCTAAAGCTAGCTTCATTGAGCAGATGGGGGCGGCGGTGGCAGGATCATGTTGCCGACGTTTTTTTGTTGTTGCCCCTTTGCATGTTTTCAAGACTTAGGCGCATCTAGCGCATCCCATGTTGTGGCCATGTCTTGTTTTTGCAAGATAATGCAACTTGTTTTTGCAAGACAAAAGCAAATCCTGCGAGCTAATATTCTTTGATCATCGCCTCAAGGATTGTTGCCGTGTTTGCTGTGCTAGCCTTTCCTGTCCTTGCTGGTTGCTGTATTTACCAGCTGTACTGGTACTGCTGCCAAACAAGAGCATAGCAAGCACCGGGGGAACACTTGACTTCGGGACGGGCTTAGCTGGAAGCTGTTTTGGCTTTAGCAACCTCCTGGAAGAAATTCCCAGAGTTTCAGTGCTGAGCACTAAGTCGCCATGGCTCTCAACGATGAGGTTGTAGCACTTGTTGTGGACAATGGCAGCGGTGTGTGCAAGGCTGGCTTTTCCGGTGACGACGCACCGCGGTCAGTGTTCCCGTCCATCATCGGCCGGCCCAAGATGCCTGGGATCATGGTCGGCATGGACATGAAAGACCACTGCGTGGGGGATGAGGCGCAGACCAAGAGGGGTGTGCTCATGCTGAAGTATCCCATCGAGCATGGCATCGTGACAAACTGGGACGATATGGAATCTTTGCTGCCGCTGGCATGGTGTCATATTGTGCATTCATTTCTTTCGTTGCTTTACTTGATGAAATTAAATTTTCAAGTGTTTCTCACGGATCGACTTGATGGTACCCTTTGGCGTCAACTGTTGCCCAATCGAAGCTGAGGAGAAGATCTGGCATCACACGCACCGCTCTGAGTTTGAAGTTTTTGCTTGGGTCTCTAGAAGCGAACAGATGATAGGTTGGTGAGAAGTGCGGCGAGAGCGTAAACTGGCAGATGAAGAGAGCAAATCGAGTCAGGGAGTGCCAGCCGCGACCAAGGTTCTACAACGAGCTGCGGTGCTCACCGGAAGAGCATCCAGTGCTCTTGACAGAAGCGCCGTTGAATCCCAAGGCCAACCGAGAGCGAATGACGCAGATCATGTTTGAGACCTTCAACGTTCCAGTGCCCTCGTGTCAACTAGCCCCTTTTCTTTGGCCGCTGATGGCTGGTTCGTGATTATGTTCAATCTAGGGGCTTTAAACTGTTGTAGACTGTCAGACTGTGACTTAGACTCCTAGAACGGCTGGTGTGGTTTGTGATTCTGTTCAATATTAGAGCTTGAAACTGTAGATTGTAGTCATTGGGGCAAGACACTGTAGGCCATGTACGTCGCCATCCAAGCCGTGCTGTCCTTGTATTCTTCTGGCCGAACCACGGGCATTGTCATGGACAGCGGTGATGGCGTCAGCCACACGGTGCCCATCTACGAGGGCTATGCGCTACCCCATGCCATCCTGCGATTGGATCTGGCTGGCCGTGATCTCACGGAGTACATGATGAAGATCCTCACGGAACGAGGCTACGCTTTCACCACTACTGCAGAGAGGGAGATCGTGCGCGACATGAAAGAAAAGCTTTGCTACGTTGCGATCGACTTCGACAGTGAGATGAAGGCTTCCTCCGAAAGTAGCGACAAGGAGAAGACGTATGAGTTGCCAGATGGAAACATCGCCGCAGTGGGCAATGAGCGTTTCCGCTGTGCCGAGGTTCTTTTTCAACCAAGCTTTGTGGGCAAGGAGGCCATGGGCATCCATGACACAACCTTTCAGTCCATCATGAAATGCGATGTGGATATCAGGCGAGATCTGTATGCCAACATTGTGCTCTCAGGTGGCACGACCATGTTCCCGGGCATCGGAGAGCGCATGACCAAGGAGCTGACTGCACTTGCGCCCGCCACCATGAAGATCAAGGTTGTGGCCCCGCCTGAGCGAAAGTACAGTGTGTGGATTGGCGGATCCATTCTGTCCTCTCTGAGCACCTTCCAGCAGATGTGGATCTCCAAGGGGGAGTACGACGAGAGTGGCCCCACCATCGTCCATCGCAAGTGCTTTTGAGGAAATGAAGCCGCATGACGCCACTTTGTACAGATGCATCTTTGGCACATGACAGCTGGGCTGTGTTGTAGAGACTTAAGCCTCAAGTTCACACCCAGGTTCATGGCATTTCGTGGCATTTGGCGGCAGAGGGCCAGAGGCCCAGGTGGCCAGGCTACTCTCAACCTTACAGGGTTGCACTTTGCGAGTCACCGATCTGGGCAGTGTGGCCAAACATGTGCTAAAGCTAGCTTCATTGAGCAGATGGGGGCGGCGGTGGCAGGATCATGTTGCTGACGTTTTTTTTGTTGTTGCCCCTTTGCATGTTTTCAAGACTTAGGCGCATCTAGCGCATCCCATGTTGTGGCCATGTCTTGTTTTTGCAAGATATTGCAACTTGTTTTTGCAAGACAAAAGCAAATCCTGCGAGCTAATATTCTTTGATCGCCTCAAGGATTGTTGCCGTGTTTGCTGTGCTAGCCTTTCCTGTCCTTGCTGGTTGCTGTATTTACCAGCTGTACTGGTACTGCTGCCAAACAAGAGCATAGCAAGCACCGGGGGAACACTTGACTTCGGGACGGGCTTAGCTGGAAGCTGTTTTGGCTTTAGCAACCTCCTGGAAGAAATTCCCAGAGTTTCAGTGCTGAGCACTAAGTCGCCATGGCTCTCAACGATGAGGTTGTAGCACTTGTTGTGGACAATGGCAGCGGTGTGTGCAAGGCTGGCTTTTCCGGTGACGACGCACCGCGGTCAGTGTTCCCGTCCATCATCGGCCGGCCCAAGATGCCTGGGATCATGGTTGGCATGGACATGAAAGACCACTGCGTAGGGGACGAGGCGCAGACCAAGAGGGGCGTGCTCACGCTGAAGTATCCCATCGAGCATGGCATCGTGACAAACTGGGACGATATGGAATCTTTGCTGCCGCTGGCATGGTGTCATATTGTGCATTCATTTCTTTCGTTGCTTTACTTGATGAAATTAATTTTTCAAGTGTTTCTCACGGATCGACTTGATGGTACCCTTTGGCGTCAACTGTTGCCCAATCGAAGCTGAGGAGAAGATCTGGCATCACACGCACCGCTCTGAGTTTGAAGTTTTTGCTTGGGTCTCTAGAAGCGAACAGATGATAGGTTGGTGAGAAGTGCGGCGAGAGCGTAAACTGGCAGATGAAGAGAGCAAATCGAGTCAGGGAGTGCCAGCCGCGACCAAGGTTCTACAACGAGCTGCGGTGCTCACCGGAAGAGCATCCAGTGCTCTTGACAGAAGCGCCGTTGAATCCCAAGGCCAACCGAGAGCGAATGACGCAGATCATGTTTGAGACCTTCAACGTTCCAGTGCCCTCGTGTCAACTAGCCCCTTTTCTTTGGCCGCTGATGGCTGGTTCGTGATTATGTTCAATCTAGGGGCTTTAAACTGTTGTAGACTGTCAGACTGTGACTTAGACTCCTAGAACGGCTGGTGTGGTTTGTGATTCTGTTCAATATTAGAGCTTGAAACTGTAGATTGTAGTCATTGGGGCAAGACACTGTAGGCCATGTACGTCGCCATCCAAGCCGTGCTGTCCTTGTATTCTTCTGGCCGAACCACGGGCATTGTCATGGACAGCGGTGATGGCGTCAGCCACACGGTGCCCATCTACGAGGGCTATGCGCTACCCCATGCCATCCTGCGATTGGATCTGGCTGGCCGTGATCTCACGGAGTACATGATGAAGATCCTCACGGAACGAGGCTACGCTTTCACCACCACTGCAGAGAGGGAGATCGTGCGCGACATGAAAGAAAAGCTTTGCTACGTTGCGATCGACTTCGACAGTGAGATGAAGGCTTCCTCCGAAAGTAGCGACAAGGAGAAGACGTATGAGTTGCCAGATGGAAACATCGCACAGTGGGCAATGAGCGTTTCCGCTGTGCCGAGGTGCTTTTCAGCCAAGCTTTGTGGGCAAGGAGGCCATGGGCATCCATGACACCAACCTTTCAGTCCATCATGAAATGCGATGTGGATATCAGGGGGACCTGTACGCCAACATGTGCTTTCAGGCGGCACGACCATGTTTCGGGCATGGGTGAACGCATGACCAAGGAGTTGACTGCAAAGCGCCCGCCACCATGAAGATCAAGGTTGTGGCCCCGCCTGAGCGAAAGTACAGTGTGTGGATTGGCGGATCCATTCTGTCCTCTCTGAGCACCTTCCAGCAGATGTGGATCTCCAAGGGGGAGTACGACGAGAGTGGCCCCACCATCGTCCATCGCAAGTGCTTTTGAGGAAATGAAGCCACATGACGCCACTTTGTACAGATGCATCTTTGGCACATGACAGCTGGGCTGTGTTGTAGAGACTTAAGCCTCAAGTTCACACCCAGGTTCATGGCATTTCGTGGCATTTGGCGGCAGAGGGCCAGAGGCCCAGGTGGCCAGGCTACTTTCAACCTTACAGGGTTGCACTTTGCGAGTCACCGATCTGGGCAGTGTGGCCAAACATGTGCTAAAGCTAGCTTCATTGAGCAGATGGGGGCGGCGGTGGCAGGATCATGTTTCTGACGTTTTTTTTTTGTTGCCCCTTTGCATGTTTTCAAGACTTCGGCGCATCTAGCGCATCCCATGTTGTGGCCATGTCTTGTTTTTGCAAGATAATGCAACTTGTTTTTGCAAGACAAAAGCAAATCCTGCGAGCTAATATTCTTTGATCGTCTCAAGGATTGTTGCCGTGTTTGCTGTGCTAGCCTTTCCTGTCCTTGCTGGTTGCTGTATTTACCAGCTGTACTGGTACTGCTGCCAAACAAGAGCATAGCAAGCACCGGGGGAACACTTGACTTCGGGACGGGCTTAGCTGGAAGCTGTTTTGGCTTTAGCAACCTCCTGGAAGAAATTCCCAGAGTTTCAGTGCTGAGCACTAAGTCGCCATGGCTCTCAACGATGAGGTTGTAGCACTTGTTGTGGACAATGGCAGCGGTGTGTGCAAGGCTGGCTTTTCCGGTGACGACGCACCGCGGTCAGTGTTCCCGTCCATCATCGGCCGGCCCAAGATGCCTGGGATCATGGTTGGCATGGACATGAAAGACCACTGCGTAGGGGACGAGGCGCAGACCAAGAGGGGCGTGCTCACGCTGAAGTATCCCATCGAGCATGGCATCGTGACAAACTGGGACGATATGGAGTCTTTGCTGCCGCTGGCACGGTGTCATGTTGTGCATTCATTTCTGTCGTTGGTTTACTTGATGAAATTAAATTTTCAAGTGTTTCTCACGGATCGACTTGATGGTACCCTTTGGCGTCAACTGTTGCCCAATCGAAGCTGAGGAGAAGATATGGCATCACACGCACCGCTCTGAGTTGAAGTTTTTGCTTAGGCCTCTAGAAGCGAACAGATGATAGGATGGTGAGAAGTGCGGCGAGAGCGTAAACTGGCAGATGAAGAGAGCAAATCGAGTTAGGGAGCGCCAGACATGACCAAGGTTCTACAACGAGCTGCGGTGCTCACCCGAAGAGCATCCAGTGCTCTTGACAGAAGCGCCGTTGAATCCCAAGGCCAACCGAGAGCGAATGACGCAGATCATGTTTGAGACCTTCAACGTTCCAGTGCCCTCGTGTCAACTAGCCCTTTTCCTTTGGCCACTGATGGCTGGTTGGTGATTATGTTCAATCTAGGGGCTTTAAACTGTTGTAGATTGTCAGACTGTCACTTAGACTCCTAGACTTTGTGCGGCAAGACACTGTAGGCCATGTACGTCGCCATCCAAGCCGTGCTGTCCTTGTATTCTTCTGGCCGAACCACGGGCATTGTCATGGACAGCGGTGATGGCGTCAGCCACACGGTGCCCATCTACGAGGGCTATGCGCTACCCCATGCCATCCTGCGATTGGATCTGGCTGGCCGTGATCTCACGGAGTACATGATGAAGATCCTCACGGAACGAGGCTACGCTTTCACCACCACTGCAGAGAGGGAGATCGTGCGCGACATGAAAGAAAAGCTTTGCTACGTTGCGATCGACTTCGACAGTGAGATGAAGGCTTCCTCCGAAAGTAGCGACAAGGGAGCGAAGAGCTGGTTGGCCAGATGGCAACAACGCCACGAGCGGGCCAAACGTTTCCGCTGTGCCGAGGTTCTTTTTCAACCAAGCTTTGTGGGCAAGGAGGCCATGGGCATCCATGACACAACCTTTCAGTCCATCATGAAATGCGATGTGGATATCAGGCGAGATCTGTACGCCAACATTGTGCTCTCAGGTGGCACGACCATGTTCCCGGGCATCGGAGAGCGCATGACCAAGGAGCTGACTGCACTTGCGCCCGCCACCATGAAGATCAAGGTTGTGGCCCCGCCTGAGCGAAAGTACAGTGTGTGGATTGGCGGATCCATTCTGTCCTCTCTGAGCACCTTCCAGCAGATGTGGATCTCCAAGGGGGAGTACGACGAGAGTGGCCCCACCATCGTCCATCGCAAGTGCTTTTGAGGAAATGAAGCCACATGACGCCACTTTGTACAGATGCATCTTTGGCACATGACAGCTGGGCTGTGTTGTAGAGACTTAAGCCTCAAGTTCACACCCAGGTTCATGGCATTTCGTGGCATTTGGCGGCAGAGGGCCAGAGGCCCAGGTGGCCAGGCTACTTTCAACCTTACAGGGTTGCACTTTGCGAGTCACCGATCTGGGCAGTGTGGCCAAACATGTGCTAAAGCTAGCTTCATTGAGCAGATGGGGGCGGCGGTGGCAGGATCATGTTGCTGACGTTTTTTTTTTGTTGCCCCTTTGCATGTTTTCAAGACTTCGGCGCATCTAGCGCATCCCATGTTGTGGCCATGTCTTGTTTTTGCAAGATAATGCAACTTGTTTTTGCAAGACAAAAGCAAATCCTGCGAGCTAATATTCTTTGATCGTCTCAAGGATTGTTGCCGTGTTTGCTGTGCTAGCCTTTCCTGTCCTTGCTGGTTGCTGTATTTACCAGCTGTACTGGTACTGCTGCCAAACAAGAGCATAGCAAGCACCGGGGGAACACTTGACTTCGGGACGGGCTTAGCTGGAAGCTGTTTTGGCTTTAGCAACCTCCTGGAAGAAATTCCCAGAGTTTCAGTGCTGAGCACTAAGTCGCCATGGCTCTCAACGATGAGGTTGTAGCACTTGTTGTGGACAATGGCAGCGGTGTGTGCAAGGCTGGCTTTTCCGGTGACGACGCACCGCGGTCAGTGTTCCCGTCCATCATCGGCCGGCCCAAGATGCCTGGGATCATGGTTGGCATGGACATGAAAGACCACTGCGTAGGGGACGAGGCGCAGACCAAGAGGGGCGTGCTCACGCTGAAGTATCCCATCGAGCATGGCATCGTGACAAACTGGGACGATATGGAGTCTTTGCTGCCGCTGGCACGGTGTCATGTTGTGCATTCATTTCTGTCGTTGGTTTACTTGATGAAATTAAATTTTCAAGTGTTTCTCACGGATCGACTTGATGGTACCCTTTGGCGTCAACTGTTGCCCAATCGAAGCTGAGGAGAAGATCTGGCATCACACGCACCGCTCTGAGTTTGAAGTTTTTGCTTGGGTCTCTAGAAGCGAACAGATGATAGGTTGGTGAGAAGTGCGGCGAGAGCGTAAACTGGCAGATGAAGAGAGTAAATCGAGTCAAGGAGTGCCAGCCGCGACCAAGGTTCTACAACGAGCTGCGGTGCTCACCGGAAGAGCATCCAGTGCTCTTGACAGAAGCGCCGTTGAATCCCAAGGCCAACCGAGAGCGAATGACGCAGATCATGTTTGAGACCTTCAACGTTCCAGTGCCCTCGTGTCAACTAGCCCCTTTTCTTTGGCCGCTGATGGCTGGTTCGTGATTATGTTCAATCTAGGGGCTTTAAACTGTTGTAGACTGTCAGACTGTGACTTAGACTCCTAGAACGGCTGGTGTGGTTTGTGATTCTGTTCAATATTAGAGCTTGAAACTGTAGATTGTAGTCATTGGGGCAAGACACTGTAGGCCATGTACGTCGCCATCCAAGCCGTGCTGTCCTTGTATTCTTCTGGCCGAACCACGGGCATTGTCATGGACAGCGGTGATGGCGTCAGCCACACGGTGCCCATCTACGAGGGCTATGCGCTACCCCATGCCATCCTGCGATTGGATCTGGCTGGCCGTGATCTCACGGAGTACATGATGAAGATCCTCACGGAACGAGGCTACGCTTTCAACACCACTGCAGAGAGGGAGATCGTGCGCGACATGAAAGAAAAGCTTTGCTACGTTGCGATCGACTTCGACAGTGAGATGAAGGCTTCCTCCGAAAGTAGCGACAAGGAGAAGACGTATGAGTTGCCAGATGGCAACATCGCCGCAGTGGGCAATGAGCGTTTCCGCTGTGCCGAGGTTCTTTTTCAACCAAGCTTTGTGGGCAAGGAGGCCATGGGCATCCATGACACAACCTTTCAGTCCATCATGAAATGCGATGTGGATATCAGGCGAGATCTGTACGCCAACATTGTGCTCTCAGGTGGCACGACCATGTTCCCGGGCATCGGAGAGCGCATGACCAAGGAGCTGACTGCACTTGCGCCCGCCACCATGAAGATCAAGGTTGTGGCCCCGCCTGAGCGAAAGTACAGTGTGTGGATTGGCGGATCCATTCTGTCCTCTCTGAGCACCTTCCAGCAGATGTGGATCTCCAAGGGGGAGTACGACGAGAGTGGCCCCACCATCGTCCATCGCAAGTGCTTTTGAGGAAATGAAGCCACATGACGCCACTTTGTACAGATGCATCTTTGGCACATGACAGCTGGGCTGTGTTGTAGAGACTTAAGCCTCAAGTTCACACCCAGGTTCATGGCATTTCGTGACATTTGGCGGCAGAGGGCCAGAGGCCCAGGTGGCCAAGCTACTTGCAACCTTACAGCGTTGCACTTTGCGAGTCACCGATCTGGGCAGTGTGGCCAAACATGTGCTAAAGCTAGCTTCATTGAGCAGATGGGGGCGGCGGTGGCAGGATCATGTTGCTGACGGGAAGTCTTTTGTCTTTGCATGTTTTCAAGACTTAGGCGCGCCTGACGCATCCCATTTTGTGGCCATGTCTTGGCTTTTCAAGATAATGCAATTCCGGCGAGTTCATATTCTTTGCACATCGGCTGAAGGATTGTTGCCGTGTTTGCTGCTTGTGGCTTACTTGCTGCTGTATTTGCCAGCCACTTTTGGTCAGCATTTTTGATCGGGCCCTTTTCCTTTGGCCCTAGGCATGCCCCATGTGAATGATCTTCTCCAAAGGGTCACCAAGCAATGTTTGTTGTTGCGATACTTGAGGCGTTCCGTATGATTGTTTGGCACACTGGCCCGAGGGAAGGCAAGGCTTCGGCATTGACGCACAGTACGCAAGCCATCGGTTTTGGGATGTCGTGTTGTTCACCGGCACAAACGGCAGGTCAGCGGAACGAAGAAGGCAAGGCGTGAGCCATGAGCATGTTTCGAGCACCTGCGCTGGAAGAGCTTGTGTGCTTGTTTTGTTCCATGTACCTGCACCCTTCTACCCCCAAAGTATCAAACTTACGAACATGATATGTCTGTTGGAACCCGTACAGCTCAAGGTTCAAGCTCAGCCTTCGATCTATAGAGCATCCAATCCGCGCTTTGGCTACTTCGCTAGGGACTTCACACCGTTTGGCGTTCCGCTGCGCCCAGAAGCCGAAGGATTCTCATAACCCTTTCAAGCTTTCAAGGGCTTCGAAGGAGGTTCCTGCCCGTTGGTTTTTCCACGTTTTTTTTTTTTTACCCGTTTTGTTCTCTTTCTTTCTGGGGGGCGGGGGGGGGCTTTGCTTGCCAACCAACCAACCAACCAACCAACCAACCAACCAACCAACCAACCAACCAACCAACCAACCAACCAACCAACCAACCAACCAACCAACCAACCAACCATCCAACCAACCAACCAACCAACCAACCATCCATCCATCCAACCAACCAAACAAACAACCAACCAACCAACCAACCAACCAACCAACCAACCAACCATCCATCCAACCAACCAATCAACCAACTAACCAACCAACCAACCAACCAACCAACCGGAGGACAAATGTGAAAGACTTACCGCGAACCGCGCAGGTGGGGGGCTCGCAAAGAGGCGAGCTGGTGGGGAGTGGCGCTGCCTCTCTAGAGAGTGATGCTATACCCATCCTGAAGGGTTTCCAGAACACGGATTGATGATTGGTCCTTGTCGGAAGTGGGACCACCAATGTATCTGGGGCTTCATTGATCCGACTGGCGACTTGACCGCCAGTAAGATATTGCTTTGATGTTGCTCGTTCTCCTTGTCAGTGGGCAAGACAGTTTCAAAACAACCAGATGGATACGTTCCAATGGAAGCCATCAACATGGTGATCATTTTGCAGCAGCCGGTTGGGGCCATCTCCGCCCTGGAAAGACTTGTCTGCTCTCTTTGGCCGATTTCCCAGTGCTGGCAGTGGTCGTCTTTTGCCAGTTAGCGAGACATCCGCGCAAACCGCCGCCGCGCCCTTAGAGGGACGCCCCAGTTTGAAGGCTCTGTCACCTGGCCTTGCTAGTCAGCTAGTCTTTGCAGAGACTCAGGCAAAGACTGACGCGGCGGAGACAGGAGTGATGACGGAAGGCGCGAGGGAGCGCTTTTTTTTTGTCGGTCAAGTCAGCATGGCAAGAAGGCATCATTTCCTTCTGTTTTGAAGGGTAGGGTTTCTTTTCCGAAACTGGGGGTTCAAACTTCAAACCAGTGATCCACCGACGAGGGATAGGCATTGTTATTCTCCGAAACCGCACCTGCGCGATCCCGAAGATGCGCTTGAGTCACCAGTCGAGCGGAGCATGTCATTTGCAGGTCATTGGTCAGCATCCTTCTTAGGCGCGGCCGTATGGATTTCGCTGAAAGAGACAAGGGACACCGGGCTGCCACGAAACTTCGATGCTCAAGCCACGGGGCTAGGAACCTCATTTTGCAGGGACCAAGGTTCGACTCTGACAGCCAGCCACCCGAGCCACCACAGCGATGCCCGCTGCAGGGACATCTCTGCACCGCGCGATGCAGGCTGCTCGACTGGCAGGTCGGGGCTGAAGGGAAGGTGGAGCAAGCAACCCAGGGGAAGTTGATCGGGTTGTTAGGCCGGCGCCCTTGCCAAAACCAGCTGCAAGACTATTTTTGACTTTGGATTGTGTGAGTCATGATTGCAGTCCGTACATCCGGCTTGTTCGACTGCCTGGTTGGTCTCCTGGGCTCGTGTCGCACCCTCCCTTGCGAGACTCTCAAACTCGCCCCTCCTTTGCCCTTTCAAAGCCTCCCTGAAGCAGTTGGTGTCTTTTTGGTTTTTCGTTTAAAAACCATCGTTTTTTTCTCTTTTTTTCTCCGTTGTTTTCTCTTCTTTTTCTTTTCCTCCTCCGTTTAAGACTCCCAAAAGGGGGAAAGGTGACCCGCAGGCGCCGTTTCTTTTTTGTCTCCTACGGTGCAGGTAAGGGCGAGGTGCCCAGCAAGGAGGGCATGATGTTCACCGCCGGGCTGCCGCGGCCTTGGCTCTGGGATCGCCAGGGATCAGTCACGTCGGTTTGCAAGGGATTGGGTTTCCCCCTGGCTTAGAGGGCCATGTTGGGGTAGGTGCACCACCCATTTTAGTCCACTTTAGTGGGGATTGGGATGTTCACTGGGGGTACGGTTGGCTTTTGACCCAAACCGGGCTCCAAACCACTGGGAAGTTGAGCATTGGATGCGATGGCCAAAAGTTGAATTGGCAAGAAAGCGGTGCGGGTGATTTACGGCCCCACAGGCAATTGTTTTTCCCGGCTTGGCTTTTGGAGGCTCAAGCCGACCACAAAATCGCACCTTTGCTTGTAGAGAATTCGAGACCAAAAGCCGTCATGCAGATCTTCGTGAAGACCTTGACTGGCAAGACAATCACCCTTGACGTCGAGGCCAGCGACACCATCGATAACGTGAAGGCCAAGATCCAGGATAAGGAGGGCATCCCGCCTGACCAGCAGCGGTTGATCTTCGCAGGCAAGCAGCTTGAGGACGGCCGCACGCTTTCGGATTACAACATCCAGAAGGAATCAACGCTGCACTTGGTGCTTCGCTTGCGAGGTGGCATGCAGATCTTTGTGAAGACGCTGACTGGTAAGACCATCACCCTGGATGTCGAGGCCAGCGACACCATCGATAACGTGAAGGCCAAGATCCAGGATAAGGAGGGCATCCCGCCTGACCAGCAGCGGTTGATCTTCGCAGGCAAGCAGCTTGAGGACGGCCGCACGCTTTCGGATTACAACATCCAGAAGGAATCAACGCTGCACTTGGTGCTTCGCTTGCGAGGTGGCATGCAGATCTTTGTGAAGACGCTGACTGGTAAGACCATCACCCTGGATGTCGAGGCCAGCGACACCATCGATAACGTGAAGGCCAAGATCCAGGATAAGGAGGGCATCCCGCCTGACCAGCAGCGGTTGATCTTCGCAGGCAAGCAGCTTGAGGACGGCCGCACGCTTTCGGATTACAACATCCAGAAAGAATCAACGCTGCACTTGGTGCTTCGCTTGCGAGGTGGCATGCAGATCTTTGTGAAGACGCTGACTGGCAAGACCATCACCCTGGATGTCGAGGCCAGCGACACCATCGACAACGTGAAGGCCAAGATCCAGGATAAGGAGGGCATCCCGCCTGACCAGCAGCGGTTGATCTTCGCAGGCAAGCAGCTTGAGGACGGCCGCACGCTTTCGGATTACAACATCCAGAAGGAATCAACGCTGCACTTGGTGCTTCGCTTGCGAGGTGGCATGCAGATCTTTGTGAAGACGCTGACTGGCAAGACCATCACCCTGGATGTCGAGGCCAGCGACACCATCGATAACGTGAAGGCCAAGATCCAGGATAAGGAGGGCATCCCGCCTGACCAGCAGCGGTTGATCTTCGCAGGCAAGCAGCTTGAGGACGGCCGCACGCTCTCGGATTATAACATTCCAGAAGGAATCACGCTGCACTTGGTGCTTCGCTTGCGAGGTGGCATGCAGATCTTTGTGAAGACGCTGACTGGCAAGACCATCACCCTGGATGTCGAGGCCAGCGACACCATCGACAACGTGAAGGCCAAGATCCAGGATAAGGAGGGCATCCCGCCTGACCAGCAGCGGTTGATCTTCGCAGGCAAGCAGCTTGAGGACGGCCGCACGCTTTCGGATTACAACATCCAGAAGGAATCACGCGCACTTGGTGCTTCGCTTGCGAGGTGGGATCTTTGTGAAGACGCTGACTGGGCACCCTGAGATTGCGAGGTGCATGCCTCATCTTCGCAGGCAAGCAGCTTGAGGACGGCCGCACGCTTTCGGATTACAACATCCAGAAAGAATCAACGCTGCACTTGGTGCTTCGCTTGCGAGGCAGATCTTTGTGAAGACGCTGACTGGCAAGACCATCACCCTTGATGTCGAGGCCAGCGACACCATCGACAACGTGAAGGCCAAGATCCAGGATAAGGAGGGCATCCCGCCTGACCAGCGTTTGATCTTCGCAGGCAAGCAGCTTGAGGACGGCCGCACGCTTTCGGATTACAACATCCAGAAGGAATCAACGCTGCACTTGGTGCTTCGCTTGCGAGGTGGCATGCAGATCTTCGTGAAGACGCTGACTGGCAAGACCATCACCCTGGATGTCGAGGCCAGCGACACCATCGATAACGTGAAGGCCAAGATCCAGGATAAGGAGGGCATCCCGCCTGACCAGCAGCGGTTGATCTTCGCAGGCAAGCAGCTTGAGGACGGCCGCACGCTTTCGGATTACAACATCCAGAAAGAATCAACGCTGCACTTGGTGCTTCGCTTGCGAGGTGGCATGCAGATCTTTGTGAAGACGCTGACTGGCAAGACCATCACCCTGGATGTCGAGGCCAGCGACACCATCGACAACGTTAAGGCCAAGATCCAGGATAAGGAGGGCATCCCGCCTGACCAGCAGCGGTTGATCTTCGCAGGCAAGCAGCTTGAGGATGGCCGCACGCTTTCGGATTACAACATCCAGAAGGAATCAACGCTGCACTTGGTGCTTCGCTTGCGAGGTGGCATGCAGATCTTTGTGAAGACGCTGACTGGCAAGACCATCACCCTGGATGTCGAGGCCAGCGACACCATCGATAACGTGAAGGCCAAGATCCAGGATAAGGAGGGCATCCCGCCTGACCAGCAGCGGTTGATCTTCGCAGGCAAGCAGCTTGAGGACGGCCGCACGCTTTCGGATTACAACATCCAGAAAGAATCAACGCTGCACTTGGTGCTGCGTCTCTGAGGAGGTTTGCTCTGCGTGGTTCTGTGGCGCTGCTTTACGTTGCGGACAGCCATCAGGACGGCGCCCGAATTCGATGACCTCTGAAACGAGTTATTGAAATAGCACAAGGCACCTCCCCTTGATTTGGGGCCTGTACAGTGCCAACGTGTGCCGATTTCGTTTTGAGCATTTGAACACTGCACCGGGCGCTCAGTTGCCCAAAAGAAGAACTCGTGGGCGTGGTTCACTGTGGGTCCATGTGGCTGGGTCCATCTCTTATGTTTGGCAATGTTTTTGCGTCTCACACCAAAAGGACGCCAAACAGCAAGAGCTGAGGATGGCCGCCATCATGGTGCGGGCCTTGGAGTCGTGAACTGTCCAGTGGGAGTTTTTTTTTTTTTTCACAGACGGAAAGAGCTCCACCAGCTGCGAGAAACATACAGACACCCATATGGCCATGGGTCAAACCCCATACTCCCAGTGAACATCCCAATCACCACTAAAATGGTTAAAATGGGTGGTGAATTCACCAACCCCAGAATGGTACCGTTGGTTTTGACCCACAGCCATATCAAGCGATGAATTCTAAGAGTTGGAGCTACTTTTCTAAGTGGTTGGTGGGCCGGCTTCTGATGTCCAAAGGCTCGCGTATTGATACTCACAACCATATTGACTGTCAGTACGACACTAATCAATCACCCAATTGGCATGCCAAATTTACGGTGGACAGGACTACATGTTGGCCAGGCCATCACCAAGTTCCCAATGGGAACATTGGGTGTTTGCTAATGGGTTCTCATGATGACTGGCCACAAGCCTGACCGAAGACCATGGCCGAGTCTGTTGTTTGAAAGCCATCGCCAGATTTTGGGCCAATTGAAGCCAACACCCAGTTCCCACAACCCGCATGGTTCTGGGGGTTGAATCCAGCCATTCTTTTCAACCATCGTTCCTTTTTCAAGACCAGCAAAGGTGGTCCAAGGATCGGAAAAAAATGCGTTGCGGCGTTTTGCCTAGAGCTACGACCCGCATGTTTCCCGCGCCGAGTTTTGTGCCACGGCTCAGGTGGTGGCAGTTTGCCTGGCTCTGATGTACCAGAGCAGCGGGCGCACCGTGCGCCGAGAAGGCGACGTTGCTGGGTTCAGCTGAGCCACGTGCTCAAAACCCGGGTAGATGAAGGTTAGTGAGGGACAATCCCAACCACAAATAGCTGCGGAATTTCGCCCAGCTGGCTTTGCCATGTCGTGGGTGCGTTTTCAAGAAGAGATGCCGTAGAACGTGATGGGTTTGCTTTCTTTCAAAAGTGGGTCCCAAATGCTGGGATCCCCACTTGAGCGTTTGGGACAGTTTTTGAAAGTGGTCCATCATTTTGTGCATCAAATTCGGGTTTGCACAACAGGGGAGGCTCACCGCATGGTAGCACAATGTCTTCTTGGGGAGACTATCAGTGGTTCACTGTCAGTGGTTCACTGTCAGTGGTTCATTTACTTGGCCCCCAAGCTCGCGTTGGAGGTTTGGCCATTCTACCTCTGCTGTGACAACGAGGGTGACTGCCTTTGTATATTTGCATACCACTATGCTCTGCCTGCCGAGCTTGGGAGCCATGGCTGGTCTCCTCTTTTCCATAGCCTCCAAACCTCATGGCCTGGGGTAGGCTCACTGAAGGTCAGTCTGAGAGCTTTTTGCCAGATAGTGTAGCATTTTTTCTGGCAGCTTGTGCTCCAGTAGTTTCCCCCTCCTTGCGGATTGGGGAATCAATCGGATCCCCTCGTCAACCACCCAGAAAGGCTGGTGTGTTTTATTCTTCGCGACAGGCATCCCGGGAGCGCCGCGTTCCAGCGAGGACGCACCCGAGACGCAGGCGGGGAAAAGGGGGGGTGGTCAGGTGCGAGGGGACCTGGCAGCGGGCCAAAGGGGCAGGGTATAGACCTCTCAGTCAGGCATGTTAGTGGATAGGTTATAACTTATAGCCCCCCCATCCGGTGTGAAGTACCCTGCCAAGGGGCCTAGTGCCGGGAGAACTTCAGGGTTTTGGACCAATCCGCTTTGCTCACGTTCCCATTGAAGAACAATTAGTCGTAAGAAAGATGCTGGGCAGTCTTGTTTTTATATTCCGTCCACTATCTTTTTATTTTTACGAGTTTTTTTTTTCTAACCATTCAACATTCAGCATCCGCTCCACGAAATGGCTTCTTCATGGTTTCACTCCCAAGACAAGGCATTTCCTCCGTGAAGGATCCCTCATGAATCATTCATTCATGGGTTGAATTCGGAGTTCCCATTTTCATCCTGTAGATGTTTCACGCCTTTTTTGTTTGATCAAAACTCCGACTAGCACAGGGATGCTTCAGATTCCCGTGGGCCGGCGTCCGGTCGCGGCTCTTTCAGGACACGATGACTTCGACGAGCGCGGGGCCCAATGGGTCATGGCATCCCACGTGCTGACCAGACCTTGCTGTTGGCTTCCGTTTGGCTGTTGCACGACATGGACTTGAAATGACTGGGGCAAATAGTATGTTGGTCTTTTTTTGGGTGCTTGTTGTTGGTTGAACCTGGATCTTGGCCGAGCTGCTTCAGGCATGCGCAAGCCGAAGCCCGCATGCTGCTGAGACGATGTGGGCCCAAATCAGTCGAGTCGCCAAAGGCGAACCGAGGCCAAATTGACGCCGTTTGTGTCTGCTCTGAGACTAATGCGACTAATGCCATCTCAAAGGCCGGCTTTTGCCAAGCGCAAGTTCTTGTGTTTTTTTTTTTGATTTTCTAGGCACACCGCAACAGACTCTGGGCATCTCTTCACGGCCGCCCACCAATTTTTTTGGGTCTGAGCAGCCCTGCGGCTTCGGCCAAGGACCTTTCCGATCCGGGCCCTCGGGCGAGTCTCTGGAAGAAAAGCGGGGGGTTGCTACTTCTTTTTTCTCCGTTTTTTCTTCTTCTTTCTTTTTAAGTAGTTTTTGTTGTGGACACATGTTTTCTGTAATATCCGAAGAGGGGGTTCTTTCTGAGACAAGGAGGACATCCCGGATTCGGGCACCGGGCTCTGCGTGTTTCCTGGTGCCCGGGATCGTTTGTAGCACCTTTTTTCCACTCTTAGCTGGCTTCCGGAAGCGTGGGAAAGCAAGGAGAGGGAGGCCAGAGGGCTGTACCTGTAGGCATCCTCGCCACCGGCCTTTGGCGTGTTTTTCCCCCTGAAGTGGTTGGGCACATTCCTTAAGGCATTCAGGTCGGTTGCCGTCCATTGGCTGGGACTTCCGCGTTTTCGCTGCATTCGCCGGTGTGGCGCGGCAAAACGCCGTAAAACCGCCGCAAAGCCCGGAGCCGGTTGCGTGTCACCGCCACTCGCAGTCGCGGCACAGCATTAGGTCTGCCTGAGGAATCAAAGAGAGCGCGGGACTGGGGAGTCGCGAGTCGGGAAGACAGGAAGCCTTGTTTGATGAATCAACTGACAAGCGAAGGCCGCCGCGTACTGCAGCAAACCTTTTCAAAGGATGGGATGATGCCATGCCTGTCCGAGTCTGACTACCGTACCGTCACGAGCTGAGTATGCAGGGCGAATCGCATTCCATTGGCATTGGCAAAAACTGGCTGCTGACACCTTTTTCCAATCACTTTGCCTGGCGGCGTTTGCCTATCGGCTTCCCTGGTCAATCTGCGGATGTCGCTCGAAGGGGAAGACGGTGGCATCCACACGGTTGGGAGAAGCTCAGGTCTCATGGTCAACTTCGTTTCTTTGGCCGACGCCTCACAGCTGCAGGATGCACTTCGAAACGCCCAGGATGTGATGCGGGCTTCCAATATGTCCCCCCTTTATTTTTTAAATAATAATAATCAAAGGAAGTTTAACAAGAAACTTCCGTAGTACTGGAACTAAATGAGCTGGTCTCGGAACGGTCCCGGAACGGTCTCGGAACGGTCTCGGAACGGTCTCGGAGACGGGACCATTGGCACGGCCGCGCGAAGGTTTCGCTAGGTTTGAATTGCGTGGCAGGTGCAGCACTTTCGCAAGGTCAAGTATAGATTTCGTGGCAGGCGCAGCACTTTCGCGAGGTCGAGTACAGATTTCGTGGCAGGCGCAGCACTTTCGCAAGGTGCTGCGTCCACTTTCTGCGAGCTGGGGGATAGCAAGTTGCAGAAACGTTGGTGCCATGCGTGAATTGGGCTTCCGGACAGTGCGCAAACCACCTCGGTCGCGACGCCTGTACGGAGGCGGTCTCGGAACGGTCCCGGAACGGTCTCGGAACGGTCTCGGAACGGTCTCGGAGACGGGACCATTGGCACGGCCGCGCGAAGGTTTCGCTAGGTTTGAATTGCGTGGCAGGTGCAGCACTTTCGCAAGGTCAAGTATAGATTTCGTGGCAGGCGCAGCACTTTCGCGAGGTCGAGTACAGATTTCGTGGCAGGCGCAGCACTTTCGCAAGGTGCTGCGTCCACTTTCTGCGAGCTGGGGGATAGCAAGTTGCAGAAACGTTGGTGCCATGCGTGAATTGGGCTTCCGGACAGTGCGCAAACCACCTCGGTCGCGACGCCTGTACGGAGGCGGTCTCGGAACGGTCCCGGAACGGTCTCGGAACGGTCTCGGAACGGTCTCGGAGACGGGACCATTGGCACGGCCGCGCGAAGGTTTCGCAAGGTTTGAATTGCGTGGCAGGCGCAGCACTTTCGCAAGGTCAAGTATAGATTTCGTGGCAGGCGCAGCACTTTCGCAAGGTCGAGTGCCAAATTCGTGGCAGGCGCAGCACTTTCGCAAGGTCAAGTACAAAATTCGTGGCAGGCGCATCACTTTCGCAAGGTCAAGTACAGAATTTGTGGCAGGTGCAGCACTTTCGCAAGGTCAAGTGCAAAATTCGTGGCACGCGCAGCACTTTCGCAAGGTCAAGTACAGATTTTGTGGCAGGCGCAGCACTTTAGCAAGGTCAAGCACAGATTTGGTGGCAGGCGCAGCATTTTTGCAAGGTCAACTTTCGCAGCCGGGGCTTGAAAATCGTACGAAAGTAGTACGCGAAGTCAACTTTCGCAGCTGGGGC